TAACAAAATAAGATATAAAAGATATAAAATGATACACCAGTCGCAGGTGTAAGTTATGTGAACCGACCCATGTGCCATTACAAATCGTTGGTAGGGCATGTATATTTTTTATTTTTTTTCTCTAAGAGCATAAAAGCAACGCACAAAATTATAAGCCTTGCTGAGAACCATGACTCGTTGGATAGCTTTTTTCACAGGTTTTAAATCCCCACTACTGAGCGTTTAAAATCGAGAATACTTCAACAGGTAGCTATACTAGTCTGATTCAAGTTAATGAGCAAATAACTAAAATAAGCAACATGGTTAACAATTCATTCGCTCACCCCCTTCATGTGATTTAGTACACAACGTACGTATATTTATCTTGAAAAATCCTATACGTAGGCCTACTAGTACTTAACCAGTGGCTCCGAGATATTTTGCTTAGACCTTGCCTCATAAACAAATTACAAAAGAAACTATCGCCTCTTATTTCTTCAATATTGAAGGTAATAAAAGATGGTCATTCGTATCTCCCTTTCAAAGAAACATTAGCTTTAAAAAAGGACCGATTACCGGTCGAGCAAAATACACTATCCATCTCCAGTAAAACATTCACTACGCCATTACAGTTAGGAACATGAAACCTTCCGAGCAGCTGATAAGCTTACCATTGAGGATATGCATAGGTTTCCGGGAATGTTGGTATGATATTTCAGGTGTGGCTATCCCGGGGGTGGTTGATTCTATTTTTCACATCGTTATTTCTGCCATCTATACCCTTAAATTCTAAGGAACATGAAACAGAGATTGATGAACCAGTCATTTTTAATGAATGTGCATGGGTCCTTGAGAAATGTAGAGAACAGCAGAANAGTAGAATGTAGAGAACAGCAGAAACACATACAGAACTTAATGGACTTCCAGCCATATGCATAAATATAGGTCAGGGAATCCAATTAAAAACTAATTCAAGGCCCCACACACTCAGGAACCCTAGCGTTCAACTGCTGTTTTGTCTTAACACAAAACAAAAATGTTTATTACCCAAGAACAGTAATTAACATGTGTGTTTTATTTTAAAGAACAACGGGACTTGGACCCTAGGATTCCTGAGAGTATGGGGTCTTGAATGGGTTTTAATTAACTTGACCTATATTCAAGAATACGACTGAAGGTCTGTTATTAATACTGCCTGCTGCTTTCTCTGCATTTCCCCTTCCTTCCTAACTCGAAGACCGCCTTCAGATTCACACATCGTACTAGCTGGGTCGGTCCAACTCTGCGGGGAATCTGACTTTTGTGCAATCTATGGAATCAGCTTCATTGTCTGACACGTGCACATCTTTAATGGCAAGTTTAAATATCCCCAACGTCTCATGTTCCTCACTTTAATGCATAGGGGATAACTGTAACAACGATATAAAAATATATATATACCTTCCCCCCCCCCCCAAAGGACTGCAAAGTCACACTACTATATATCTACGGGTAGATAGCAGAAATTACGATGTAAAAATTACAATCAACCGCCCTATGGGACAACCACACCCCGTACTTCAAACCGTTTCAGGGACTTACAAAAAATCCTGGTTGCAAAATGCATTGCAGTTGCAAAACTCGTTTTCACGATTTTCTTTGTGTGCAAATCTGCAAAATACGTGGCAGTTGCAAAATGCGGCTCTACAACTGACTCATTATGATTGTGAAGAAGAAAAGGACAGCACACAGCACTGGACAGCTGAGTGCTTGAATGTAGGTCAAGGAATCCAATAAAAAACTGTTGTGTGCTTGGGGGAGATGACAGAAATTGTGATATATATAAAATATATTTCATCCACCACGGGTGCAGGCACCAGATTCAGCCTATTGTGTCAAGGCAACCCCGTTCTCACCCCGATTCTATCTCTACATCATTTAAAATTGTTCCGGTTACTATAAAGAAATTGGTTGCTAAATGTGTTACAGTCGCAGATTGCGTTTTCACGTATTTCTTTGGTTGCAAAATGCGGCTTTACAACTATCTTATGGAATGACTCCCCAGACTGTAGTGTGCTGTAGTTAATTTACGCCCTTATCTTTCACATTAAAACCAAGTAACAGGGTATCATTTACAAGTGCTCAGGTGAGGTGGAAGCACAAAAGAAATAAGCAATCATAAGCAATATACTTGAGACACAAGGTTTCTTTGCAACTTAACTTTTTCAGTTCAATTTATTCTGAATAAATATCAATCTACAAGCCTGTTGATCTCGCAGATCAACCACGTTAATTAGGCTGCTAAACAACAAGCCCCCCCCCCCCCCTCCGAACGCCTTATTAACAACAGGTTTCCAAATGCAGACTGTGCCGCAGATAATACTTTCGGGTCAAAAGAGAACCAGCCAAGGGCACACTTCAGGAACACGTTTGATCACGCCATGATGGACATTCACAGGTGTAGGACCAGAACAGAGCCTCTTGGAAACCAAGGGACAGACGTTAAGCATTATACCTACGCGTGTCTTTCCTCATGGAAAAATTAGTCTTTTCAGAGTGGGAGGCGACTTGATCAAGACGATTGTAGTGCACAATTATATACATGTACCTTCTCTGCTTCTTTTTCAACACTATTATCTATTTATTTATGTTTAATAATTGATTCCTATTTGTTTATTTAACCATCTTATAATCCAGTTACCTACGCGTAAATTATGTTTTCATAGCCTGGTTTACCTGATCCAGTAGTTTTATGTATCAAGCGGATGTGGGAAGGGAGGGCCTAGGGGGTCTGGACCCCCTTTTTCCAACGCTGACCATTATCTCCCATAATGTACTGATTTTTCAGAAATCCTGGACCCTCACCTACATGTACATATGCCTGTGTATTTTAAAATTGCTCAAAACATAGGCCTACATCCAATATCACTAAAGAAACCCTATTCATTCATACAAGTAAATTAAAACGTACAGTTTACCTATTTTGGATAATATTTACAGTAAAAAAACATTATATTTCAAAAACGTTATCTTTCATAACGTAGGACCAACAACAGGTGCTTTTTCACCATTATCCCATGAAGTCGCAGGCAATATCTTATGTGGAGATGAAGTCGCATTTTATCCTATGAAGTCGATTTGTCAGTAAATTCAGAGCATTTATCCCATGAAGTGGTAATATACCATGAAGTATCTTAACACACGTCTGTTTTCAATCACGAAGAGGAAATAAAACATGAAATCCACTCACGTTTTCTGTTGCAAAATATCATTTATCCTTAGCAAACTGACAGGGATTGTAAGTTGCTGCTGTCATTTACCATGAAATTTAGTATTAAAATACCTTAGGCTTGTGCATTTAAATGTATGACATCAAAAGTTATCAATTAGAACTGCGAAGAACAATGAAACAACCTTGTCAATTGTAGATTGCGATAAGGTTGGCCTTTTCGAGTGGTTCAGGAGTAATGACACGTTCAATGTATTTGGAACAATTTAGATAAAAATGTGTATTATAGCTGGTTATATCTGTGGCCAAGGATATGGATATGTAGGTAAAGAACAATTTTACTAGAGAGAGAAAAAAACAGACTACTACTGAAAGATTTCAAGGAGAGAGGAAAGAAATCGATCTCCCCCCCCAATCCCCTTGACCATCCCTAAACATGGCCAAGGGCGCATTCCCATAGATTTTAGATCGATCTATCCCCGTGGGGAGTCTCACTAGATTACTGTCAGATATTCCGGCTTAAATGTCCGTCCCGCCTACTACAAGCTGTAAGGGGGTAATTAACTTTCGTGCCCGCTCGGCTGACAGCTATTTAGCGCGAACCCCCAGGGAGTTAGTTCGATCTAGTTGGATCGATCTAATCTCTGGGAATGGGGTCTAAGCTACGTGACTAGTTGCACATATACATATATATAAAGAAATGGCCGAGCCCGGTGTGAAGGCACATTGAGCTAGCAATAACATCATTTCATTGTGCAGCAAATTGATATAACTTTCTGACAAGCGCTGCATGACAGTCCTTGTGCAAATGTGCAAATAATATTGGTGAGAAAACAGTCCTTCACACTTACATAACAAAGTGTCTCTCTTTCATGAGTCCAGTGTACGACCTTATATGACAATGTATGTGTAACTTCAATTATAGCAAAGAAACGGAAAAAAATTATCTCACATTTCTGTAAAGAAGTATCATTTATATCACCAATGCGGAAATCAATAGGGATTGGATAACTTGCTGTTGTCATTTAGTAGAAATCCGCCTAGAAAAAGAGACTACATTTCAAAAATAATTTCCCATGACAGCCAAAGAAAAAGAAAAACAAACAAACAAAAGAAAAAAAAAAAAACATTGCACATCCATTCTTTTTAATGATATCAAAGAAATACAATAAGAAATAAGGACTCAAAATGTTATTCGACCAACAATTTTAGAAGTAATTAGATTTTTCAGTTATCATGAAATGCGCAACGTCCATAATGATCAAAAATCGGTGAAAAGCATTGAAATAGATGGGAATGCATTACTCATGTGTATTAATTTTTTTCTGTTTTGTTTACTACATTGTAGAACGTGAAGATGTGTAGAATTATGTGAAGGTATTGGCCATTCGCGCTAGCGGATGAAGAATATAGGATAGAGAGAAATACCAGATATAATTGGCCTGGAACCTCCCCTTAATCTGTGCATAGGGCAGGACAAATTTACACAATGATCACTTAATGAAAATTTAAATTTTAAAGCTACATTTGACCATGGAAGTAGACATACTGACTAATGCCGAGTGTCGTTGTGCACAGAGTTCAGTACCCAACCTAAGAAATTAATATTCTTTATATTTCTAAGTATGAATTTTCAATTAAAACATTATAGGTCTTAAAAAAGTTCAAATTCCGCCAAGCCTCTGTTACAAAGATAACCTCACAACATACCATTTACCTCAACTTTGAGGAAATCAATTGTAATTGGTTAAGCCGATGCTATTATTTAAAGCGAAAACTAATTTTAGGGAAAAATCATGCAGAGGTGCAGTCTGAATATAAATGACACCATCTCATGCAAGGTCAAAAAACAAGGTTGCGTATACCTGCACTGGTATAAATATAGCGGCAAGTCTGAAATAAGGAACACTGCAACTAATAATTCGCTGCACCTTCTAGAGAGAATAAGTCTCCGACTATGCATTTCAACGCAGTGCTGGCATTACTTCTTACTGTTGGTCCATTATGCGTCCTAGGACAGGCTCTAGGTAAGTGTCATTCTATTCTAATCATTCGGTAAAAGGACGGTATGAAGCTGTTTTAAAAGCCGTGCTCAATTTGGCAAGGAATTTTCATTCTGTCCAAAAATTCACTTTTGAATTGAAGAGATTGCATATGCTCTTGTTCTCCCTTATTTCCAGTTCCCCTCAACAGGGGTAGAGACGCTGGAGCTTCAATTTTTGACACCCTAGATGCAATATTGAGCGGATCGCAATACCATAATGTCATGTTCCTAATGGACAGCAGTGGAAGCATATCAGACTCTGAGTTCGCCGTATCAAAGGAAGCGACACAGGTTTGTTTCAAGTTACAATAAAAAGATCCTCTGTAGCAAAACCATTTTTTTAATATCGTAAGACATTTAAGATTCGGATCAAGGAACTGGAGACGGATGTGGAATTAATAACCACAGGCAGTAATTCGATTGCTTCAAAATTTTACAACGAATGATATTAGGTCACAGAGGAGATTGCGATTCGCTGCAGTCGCCGATTCACCTAAGACAGTTTCCGAATCAGAATCTGTCCAGGTGACGGTTTCCGCTTGTGATCTGTCCTAGGAGAAAGACCGATTCTCCTAGGTCAGATTGTTACTTCTGGCAGTTCTAACAAACACTGACAGTGTGCCAACTGATAAGTGTCAATCAAGTGCAATCAGTACAAGATTCTCATAAGGTATCAGTACAGCAATTCGGGTAATTGTCTGTCCTTCAAAACTGCTAGCTGCTTTCGGATAACTTCTAACAGGCTTTCGGATATAACCTATATGTTATCAAATGTCGTAAAAACTTAAGTATTTCTTTTGTATGTAACACAGCTACAAAAGATTTAGATAAGCTATGAAAAAGATGGGGTAATACCCAAATAAAACAAAAATATTTATTGATTGTACAAACAACTTTGATATATCAATATAAAATGAAATAAACTCATTTTGGTGTAAAATCAGATGATTTTAGTTTCGGTGTGAGATTAGATAATGTAAAATTTATTGTTTAAGTCGAGAAAAATAGTAATTCCTAGAGTTTTATACTAATTTGGTAGTTTTAAGCTTTTTTCTTTGATATACCTCTCTGAATAGATGTATACTATACAAAATTATTAATTTTGACTTGCTGAACATTTTGAATATAATGAATGGCAGACCTTGACTTCTTTAAAGACTGATTTATTTAATAACTGTACAAATTCCTTTTATATGAAACCATCATCCATTTTGCATTTTTACTAGCTGAAGAAAGCAAACTGATGGATTAGCAACAGTACTAAGAGAATCGGTGGACAGATCACGCTCATAAACTGTTTTATGACAGGCAATTGTACTGAATCGCAACCTCCCATATATATATATATATATATATATATATATATATCATCTTTTTATGTATTTTTTGTGTGTACAGGCAATTCTTAGCGTCGTTGATTTCATCCCTTCATCCAACGCTATAGCATCAGATAAACATAAGATAGGTCTGGTGCGGTTCTCTTCTGATGCAAACACAAAGGTCATAATCAAATTGGGGGAGCATGCTAGCTTCAGTAAGAACAACGAGGAAATTGGCAAGGTGGTAAAAGAAGGTAAATTGGAACGATCACATGAATACAGTGTGTCAGCATTTGGAACATTGGTCGAGTGTTTTTTAAAGTTTCTTCGTATTGTACTAAAAGGCTTGAACGGTTTCCTCTAAAATGCATGATTTTTCTTTAATTGTAACACATTTTCAAATAACCATGGTTGATATTTAAATTAAGTCGAACCAACAGACATGTAGATCTCTGCTAAGCACTGCTGCCACTACCGTTCAAGGCTAGCGCCTTTGCAATACTTTTCTTGTGTTGGCTTCTTATTCTGTATGTAGGCCTACTTATAGCTCAGAATTGGTCTGTAAAGTTTCTGAAATCGTCACGTAAACGACATATATTACAGTTTCATAGCAAGTAAATATTGTTTGTAATAAGCAAATAACCATTTTTTTTGCTGAAAAAAAACACCCACTTTAAAAATACAATTCATACGTGTATTTACACAACTTTTTTTTTTTATTTTAGGCGGTTTGACTAACACCAAAAAAGGCTTACTACTCGCTCAACTACAGTTGGGATTTCGAGGAGGATCTGCTAGAAAGCAACTTATCTGGATGTCAACTGATGGCATGTCCAATGAAGGAGGGGATCCCATTGATACAGCAAATAGTTTGAAGGGACGGGGTGAGTATTGTCATGCCGTTAGAAGAGTAAGCGCAACATTTCAACCGATTTGCACAGCCGATGTGTGGGTGCTCAGATTCGTTACTTAGCTGAAATGCTTATTTCAAAATTGAATGAATCGCTGCATTGGCTTGATTGGTTCACACATTTTCTCTTTTCCCTGTGTAAAGCCACTTTTGCCAACTAATTTTAAGCCATGCTAAGAAAAAATAGCTTCAACAGATGACGAATTAGCAACATATTAACGCCAACGTATAGAAAGACAATTATACAATCTTCTCTTTGCAATTCCCTGTGGTTTTACGGACCCAATTTTCGATGCATGAACATGTTAAAATAATAATCATCATTATTATTATTATTATATTTAGAAACCAAGTATGGTCTTACATTTATTTAGATATGTAGCTACGTGTATTACTTTCAGTAAAACGATGCCTGAAAATTCATTTTGAGAATTAAATTAAGGTTAAGTGAAATTTTGTTAATTGCATATAAACTCCAATAATATAGGAAAATCACCCTTAGTTCACATATTTGCTTAAAATATTTGCCGATACATCAATGTAGGCTATTCAATGAAAATTTCCTGCGATACCATGTCAGTCACTATCAAGTTTTTCTATCTTATCATCAATGAGTCTGATCTGCTTTATTTGTGAAATTGATATCGGTCATGAAGAGATATGCAAAATTTCGCTTTAGGTGTCACCATTTGCGTCACTGCCATTGGAAACAGCGTAAACCATGCCGAAATTTATGGTATGGCTTCGTCTGTAACGGTCCAAGGAGAGTCGAGGAAATGTGTCTTCGAGGTGGCCTCGTACAGTGCGTATGATGCTGCAGCCCAATCTGCGAGAGCCAGAGCCAGTGCCAGGGGAAAATAAGCCCGTTTTGAAGGCCAGAAAGGCCCAGACCGGTCACAGTGTTTAGTGTTTCCATTATGACAGATCAACGTGGCTGTTGTCAGTTTTTATACAATTATTTTTGCTTTTCATCAAATTATTTCACTTTCGATAATCTACTTACGAATGTCCAAATTACATTATGGAAATAAAAGGTTTTAGTGCAGTTTATATATATATGTGTGTGGTTTGTTTAAAAAAAAAAAGAAAGAACTTTTTATGGTTGTTTCTCTGGCGTTAAGGCCCCTACATGTTGTTACAGAAGTTACTGGCAATGATATCATCTTTCCTTTCAAGAACAAAAAGTATTCATGTTAAAGCAAAATATGCATGAGGGTACGGGGGTCTAAAATATACACCCGAGAAGCTTCTTATTTTCAAATGGTCTAAAACCAAGACAATATGTTAACAAAATAAGATATAAAAGACATAAAATGATACACCAGTCGCAGGTGTAAGTTATATGAACTGATCCATGTGCCATTACAAATCGTTGGTACATGTATATTTTCATTTTTTTCTCTAAGAGCATAAAAGCAGCGCACAAAATTATAAGCCTTGCTGAGAACCATGACTCGTTGGATAGCTTTTTTCACAGGTTTTAAATCCCCACTATTGATCGTTTAAAATCGAGAATACTTCAACAGGTAGCTATACTAGTCTGATTTAAAGGACAATGGTCATATAAAAATCCATTTCTCGAATTTTGAAGATTCAGCACTCAATCTATACACTAGAGGTATGTTTCAATCGATCCCCGCCATTTAAAAATTATAAAAACAATCTATTAGTAGTAAAAAAGCGTTTTAGTAAACCTCACCTCAATATGCATAAATGAAGCAACAGATCTGGGTCACGCGGTACTGTGACGACAATGAGGATAAAAGTCAATGAGACTTAACTGAGCTGCATGATGCAAACAGACAGAATAATTTTGGAAAGTTGTGTTGAACGGCGTTGAGCAATTTTCTTTATGCCTCAGTGTGTTGCCGTGGGATTCACCAAAATTGAAGCACTCCTTGACTATCTTTCTTTGTCTGTGACGGTCTTCCGTGACTAACTTACTAACTTCGGTGACAATAGTTGCCATGCTCGCGATCTCGGTCACCTCAGGTGTTTTAGATCATATCAAAAGCTGACAGTCTTTTAGATACTGTGATCAGTTGGCAAGCTTACTAATTGCTGATGCATTTTTAAATGCATTGTAGTTGACCAAGAGCTCGTTAACAATAAAACCTGTTAATTATGCACCGCTGCACTTCCCAAGCCAGGTAATAACAGGTAACAGGTATGAAACTCGTCTTGATGGGCTTTCAGATTTTTCAATATACAGTATATCATTTATTTTATGGAGTTATTTTATTGGTATTTGTAAATGACGTTAAATATCAATATTTAAACAATTAAGTTCAAATACGGTCGCGAACATTAATAAAAGAAATTGCTCTCCGGTTATCTTGAAGCATGCGTATGCCCAGGCTATACTTCCGTGGAAGAAAACGTGTTGAGGAAAAACAGGAAAAAGAGCGTTATATTATTATAAAAGAAAAAAATGGGAACTGCTGTAATAAAATGGTTCGTAATCCTAATTCGTGTACGCTTTGAGGATTTGTTTTTGAAGATTATTTCATCTGAAATATTAAATAATTTTAAAGATTAATCATTTTACAACTTGAAACGCAAATTCTGCGTCTGTACGCAAAACTTTTTGCAAATTTGTAAGCTTATAACACCGTGCTATAAAGATCTACTCAAGAAAAAAATTTGCTTGGGTAAAATTGAGTACGGAATGAACTGGAGACACTTGGCTTGTCATTAAGTTTACACGAAAATATGTCAGATAACTTTATACTGTCTTTGAAAGAGTAAAGACTGAAAGATAATTTTAGACAAACTTTGACGGGGAAATATCTACAAAGAGTAAAGGGCTATTTCGCCAACATCTTGTTGAAAATTTTATACTGCAATTCTTNCTCATATAGTAGCTTGATTTCCATTAATAATTAAATCATCATTTAAGTCAAAAATATTCTCGCGATTTAATAAATATTCTAATTTACCCAGAACGGTATATTTATTTTAAAGGCGGCTAACTGATATATAGTTTTATGATTTGTTTGTGAAAATTGCCCATGTCACCCTGTTAGTTTGGAGGTCTAAGCTGGATTACCCTCTACCAGGGCGACTGATAGATTTTTACAGATATTCACAGATATGTCTCTAGCTAGATAGATGGTTATTTTGAGCTGAAGTCACTCTGTTGAGGAATCTCAAGGCTGATTACATGGCTGGTAATATTTTGCATAACTGCTCAGGCACTGCCACTTAGCAGGTCCAGTCTAAGTCTGCGTGACAGCAATCAAGACAGTTAATTGCTCTGACTTCACTTGCTCTTCTGTGACAGATAAAAAAGCCTTAGACTGGTTGCGTAACGAGCAGTTATCATATCATTGTGAAGCTCAGCTCATGCAGAGCAAGAGCAGAGCCTTTGGTGCGCGCGCAGAGATAATTGTTTCCACATGGGATTCCTCAACAGGGTGACTTCAGCCCAAAATGACCATCTATCATAGAGACATCTGTGAATATCTGTAAAAATCTATCAGTCGCCCTGGTAGAGGGTAAAGCTAGATCAAGTCCGTGTTAAAATTCCTATGAAGCTGTGCAAGAAAAATTCTTCCTTTCTTTCTCTAGCTCCTCGATAAACCTGGTGTTCAGATCTTATTTAGTACCCACAGGTCTACGGGAGCTGTTCTTTGAAACTAACGCACAGGTAGATTTTTACCTGAGATAACTGGAGTAAAGCTTAGAGAGTGCGTTCGATACAAGCAAGATAAATTGAATGCCAATTAACCCTCTAATTAAGAGGTAAAGTAAGTTCCAGTTAGATGGATCATTAAGATAGGACTTGTAAAGGTAACGGGCATTGTTTACCTCAGTTTAATAAAAGTATGCAAGACGGGGTGTCATCGGTTTAATAAAATAAATTGAATTTCACAAATAACATTGACCTCATATGCAATAATCAACAGTACCCTTAACTCATTCAAATGCAGTGTTTTATACAACTTGGGATAACCATAATTAAATGCTCGTTAAAGAATTGACTAGACGGGAAATGGTTTTACACAGCTTCACCAGGATTTAGACCCCTAGGGTAAGAGATTTGAATGAGTATAAACTTTTATCAGAAGCCAGAAAAGTCATCTTACAGGTAGACAATGCAGCTCAGTTTGACAGCTAAGAACGCTCTGTTCTCCGGTGGCACGATTGTCGTCATCGGACCACGTGCCCACATAGCTCATTAACTCCCAGGCCGAGCAAAAAGGACGCTTTTTAAAGGCAAAAATTTACAAAATGAGCTTTTAATTTGTGTATATGGATAAAGGTATCGTTAGTTGGGCATGTTTTCTGAAGAATATGTTCCGTTCAGGCCATTCTAACGGCATGACCATTGTCCTTTAAGTTAATGAGCAAATAATTAAAGTAAGCACATGGTTGACAATCCATTTGCTCGCCCCCTTCATGTGTTTTAGTACACAACGTACGTAGGCCCTATATTTATCTTGAAAAATCCCATACGTACTAGTACTTAACCAGTGGCGCGGAGATACTTTGTTTAGACCATGCCTCATACACAAATTACAGAAGAAACTATCGCCTCTTATTTCTTCTTCAGTATTGTAGGTAATAAAAGATGGTCATTCGCATCTCCCTTTCAAAGAAACATTTGCTTTAAAAAAGGACCGATTACCGGTCGAGCGAAATACACTATCCATCTCCAGTAAAGCATTCACTAAATGTCAAAAATCTTCTTAAAGTTCACTTGCTTTATCTGCTTAGAAAAGGAGGACCCCACTCTCACACACTTGACAAAAGACAGCAAATTTGAGTGTACAAGTATGCTGTTGTAAACAACAGTACGAACAATGAAATGGAATTTGTGAAGTTAAGGAAATAAATACTTATACTAATATCTTGATAGAACCCGAAAGATTACATGACCCACCTGGCCGTTATTGGCTACAGGTAAACAATAGCAAGTAAACAGTATGCGCAGTTCAACTTCGCGCAGACGTAGTTAATGACACCAACAAGATGGCGAAGAGAGTATTATGTTATACCTGTACGCCAAAGAACTGTACGCCTAACTGACACTTATTTTGGGGATTTATTTTGTACTGGGAATCGTCGCCAAACTTTAGTAACTATAATGGTGGCATGTAACAATAATGGTGGCGAGATGAAAGTTTTCCACAAGAGTCAGATGTTTGAAATGGGAGTAATGCAATTAGTTATAATCAGCATGTGTCTTGTCAGCATAGTTTACGTCGTGAACGGAACAGACTCGTATAAAGTTATGAAAACAAAGCTAGGTGCTGGTAAGTTAATTTAGGAAGCTAGTAGTACAGCGTAAAATAATAGAATGCTATGACTACGAAATGGTAATCGGGGTGTCCACTTTACACACGCACGCGCGCGCACACACACACACACACACACACACACAGAGAGAGGGAGGGAATAAGCCGTTTGCTGTAGTAGCTAGTTTGAGATCAACTTCATATTATCCTTAATTATCAGATTCCAGTAATCAATAAGCACATTTATTAAACCTCCCCGTGGTATAACATTTTCGCATTTGTATTTATAGGTTTATTTATTGAACTCATTCCAATTAAGTAAAAGGCGTTTAATTGTTTGCATGATAAAGTTTTCTAAAAAAAAAAAAAAAAGGCATTTGCAATGATTTTAACTATACTCTGATCAAGAATTGTTTTTTCTAGGAGAAGGCTGTATTGACATCGATGGGAATCCCCGAACACACCTGGAATACTGGAACACTACTGATACCTGTGACAAAATCATCTGCTGGAATGGAAGATTAGCCAATTTTACGATAACACAACAGTATGATCGCTCACTAAAGAGATTAAATATAATGATAAATTATTAATTAAATAAAAATTTAAAAAACTAAAAATTCGAAGTTTTCCCCGTTAAATCACTTCGATATTTTATCTTCAAGTTTTAAAATATTATGTCAAAGTACGGTGGCATGATATGAATTTGCATTCTGCCACTAAATCGAGCTTATATAAAGAATAATTGTGAGTGATCTTGTTGTGTATCTCACCAAAATTTGTTGAACTAATTTTACTACAACTGACTTTTTTCCAGATGCCACAGTTTTGATGCAGGGGAAAATCCTGACAGTACGAATTGTTTCGAAGTGGCAGACATGGCTCAGCCGTTTCCTTCCTGCTGTCCCTCGCTCGTATGCAATGCTACAGATTTTGTTGCCCCGACAGTAGCCAGTGAGTTATTGTTAATTAACTGCGTGGGATTGTCTGTTGATATTCTACTACAGTTGCATTTTAGCTCTTAAATCAAACCATGGTGTTAAAGACTAAGGAATGTTTTCTTTACTCTTGCAAAAATAATATATAGATGGAATTCCATAGCCTAGTAACCCATATACTGAGTACAACATGGATGGATCGGGGATGCGAGGAAGGAACACCTAATTCCTCTTGTCGAATATCCTTGGCTCTTTTTTTGAAACAGAAATATTATCCCGTGTGACTTCTGTATTACAACATTGATTTGTGATACAAACTGAGTAGTCATGATATTATTTTTCCAGCATGCGGCGACTTGGCTACCGCGTACTCCTGCGACCTCTGGAAGAACCACTTTAGCGCGTGCGTCTTAAGTAGTGCAACATTTTCAGAATTGTTTAACTACACGCAACAATTCTGCCAACAAACCTGCGGGTAAGGCTTTTTTATTGTTCAATTTCAAGTTACATACATCTTATTTGTATCACCGTCTTTTAATCGCCAGTACTACTGCTGTTTTAACTTATGAATATGACATGACATCGTCCTGCTTGTAGATAAAATAAAAAACTTACTTTACTTTGAAATACTTTTCTTCTCCCTTTTTTACCATATCAAAATCAATGTACCTAAAGTAAATGTAACACACACTAAGAATGTGTTAGATTATTTTTATCTTTCTTCCATTGCAGACTTTGCTAATCGATACAGTTTTATATAATGAATGCAGAAACAAGAAAGCAATACCATGTCCAGGATCCAATTAGTCATTTATGGTTTGATACCTGTGGTACACACAAACTGGTGATGATATTCCATCCAAAGAAAGAACTGTTTCATGAAGTGGCTGGCCACTCTTAGTTTTATAAATATAACTGTTATCAAAACATTGTTTAGTATTATGAATTTAACACCGACAATACAGGATTAAATACAACTGACTTTTCTTTGTTATTATACATCAATAAATATAGTATTTAACAAGGCAAAATCGTAAGTTGTAATTTTTTTTTAAATTTAGTTGATTTTGACTGTGTTAAAATCACCAATAAATAATATCATTGTATTATTGAAAACTGCAGTTTTATCATTAATCAATGCTTCCTTTTCTTTTTTGTTTTCACACCCTGCTCTTCATCATTATCAGTTTTCTTTGAATAATTCCTGTTCTTAACATTGGCATATGAATAGAAATGAACTCCAATCTTCTTCGACTTCTCTGCTCTTTCTAGTTTTCTTCTCTGAAATCAAATCGTAGTCCCATTAGCCAAATACTTCGGATGTATAAATGCACTCCTATGCCTTCCCATCCATAGACAAAAACCTTTCTATCCAAGAGGGAATGGTTTCCAAACATTAAAATTTTTCAAGATCTTTAAATTCTTAATTAAAGTCTGGTCTTTGGGTTTTCATATAATTACCTCTTTTCCTGACATTTTCACCTCCATATCCTCTTCTTCAGAATCTGCGCAGTTTATTCTCTTTCTCTTCCTCCCTGCAGTTTTACTGGTTGGCTTTGTTGCTGCAGAGGGGGTCATCTCTACGCAAGTCACAGCATCTTTTTCTGTCATGACATATTCCACAAATCCTGAACAGGAAGTGAATAAATAAAAAATTGTAAAATATGGATGGAACGAAAAATATTTTTAAAAATTAGGCCCCTCCTTCCACCCCAATTCCCCTGTTCTTTAATATCTCATGTTGATACCGAAAAGCTTGCTATTACACATTAACAAATTCCTTTCCCTGATCAACAGCATTCTAATTATTTTTTTCTGCAATATTTACCATAACCATATGGCACTTCTCAAATATAATTGCTTTAATTTGTCATCACCTCATTTCTGAACATTTTCCATGTTGGATGAACGTCACTGTTATTTGTTCATTAACATCAACTTTGACTAGCTTGGTTTAAAACAGAAAATAATCGGGTATTCTTTATAAAATTTGGTTTGATTTGCTGCTTCTAAGATTTGATTATGTATAAAAAAAGGTACCTTTTGCATTAGTAGTACTTTTCTTTTTGGAAAATCCAGAATCCTGAGGAGTTACAACAAATGTCCCACTCTTGCTCTTGTATTTAGAGGCAGTTTTCACTGAACTGCTTTTTTCCTTTATAGGGACAACTTTCTGTTCCAGTTTTATGACCTTATGTTTGACAGTACTTTTCTTTCCTCTTTTGGTCTTGGCACCCAATTTCACATTTGAATCAGTGTCTAATTCAGTCAAACTTTCCTTTAATTTATCATTCACATTCTCGATATCTTTCTTTGCCTTCTTTTCAACTGAAGCAGTATCATCAGTTTTAGACGTGGTCATCTTCTCTGATAAAACATCACTTGTACTACTTGGGAGTTCATTATGGGTCATTTCTGCATCTGATTCACTGTCATCATATTCTGTATTCTCTTCATTAAAGGTTTCATCTTGTTCTAGAGGTTGGACATCTTCTCCCTCAAACTCTGGTTCTACATTTATCTTACTGAAATCTTGCCTCACTTGAACGTGTACTTTTACTTTGGCAGGTTGTGCCATATCTTCACCATTAGGGATAGGAGCTTTAGTAGACAATGCAGCATCTTGAGCATTTGCTTCCTGTGCCTCTGTAGCTGCTTCTGGGACTTCCAATTTATCATTCATATTTCTTGGTTCCTATTTGGAAAAAAAAAAAATATATATATATATTATATATTACACGTTTTCATCTACAAGCATTCTTGCTGTTCAATTTTCAGTTTAAGTAACTGTTTATTACACCATGCAAATTCACTTTCATAAGAACATCTCACAAGATAACAGACAAATGATATAAAAGAATATGGAGATGAAACTCTTTAAATCATCAGAAGAAAAAAGACTTACATCTGATTCTGGGGGTCTTACATAGTAAGGAAGTTTTCCTCTCTGCCAGTCATTCAGGACCATTTTAGCTACGGTACAATAATCTGGCTCTCCACCCTAAAAGGGAATACTTACACTATTTAACTGTTAAAAATGATTGGAGCTGCAACAATACTGACATCAACAACAAACTGGTATTTCATCAAGTTTAAAACCCAAGTAAATGTTTTTCTGGCATGAAATAACTTTTCAGATTATTGAATTATGATTTTATCTTTTTTAAAAACAACAAAGACACAAGAAAAAAAAAACAAAAAACACAGCATGAGCTATCCAAAGAAGAAATCGTTCTCACATAACAATATCTGTCTGATGAAGTCCTTCAGTGAGAATGAAAGCTCAAAAGTTATTAGAGTTTTTACGTTCAAAAATAAAAAATGGTTCATTTTTTCACATTTACAAGATATTGTGAACCACACCACATATATACTTAATTGTTTATACCAAACTTATTCACCATTACAGTTAAGTTTTCCCCCCATTTATCAAGTACCTTGAGCAGTTTGCCTGATCTTTGGGCTAATTTTTCCAGGAACTCTTCTGCAGTAGTCCAGGTGTCAATCTTGTATGTTTTAGCCACATACTCTTTTCTCACTCTTTCCAAAACTGCTGGGATGTAATCTTCTGGGCTTTTTATATTCTCTACACGAACCTAGAGGTTTGGTTTAACAATCTGGTATCACTAACTTCTCTTCGCAGTCTTAGTGGCCACTTATTACTTTATCCAATAGGAACTGATCCACAAATACTTAATGTTGGGCAGTTACATCAACCAGTAAAGTAAATTATGTAATTGACCATCAGTTATGAGCTGGATTAAGTAACTCTTTAATCTTAATTATGCTTATTGCCATTTTACATTTTATTCATATAAAGGACATTCTTAATGTCACAGATACATAGCCATACCAAATAAGGGTGGAAATTTAATCTCTTACCACTCCCTTCAGCACTATCTCTGTCTCGGTGTCCCCCTGTGGGTATACCACACCTGGGCAGTCAATGAGGAAGATCCTTCTCATCAGTGTCACATACTGCCACACCTGGAAATGTTTTGCACAACCTTGAAGCCACTTTAAAATTAAAGGCCCTTGTTCACTGTCAGTTCAATCCAGGCATTCTTTTATTTGGTTTTATAATAGGTTGGTTAATAAAACATGGATCTGGTTGAAACTTCATAATTACCAACTAGCAAGTATCCCAATTTTAACTTCATCTAAATCATACTGAAACCCATTGCTGCTGTAAATAAGTATCAAATGTCTTTAAAAAAACTTTGTCAAACTTTATATCATAACTGTAAACACAACTTTGTAATCCATGAGCAAACAATACTGATATTATTTCAGTAATTTTGAAAGAGCAAAGTTCCACTGGTTAAAATCAAATTATTAGAAAGTCACAAAAATACTAATAATCAATTTTGGCAAATTCAAATGTCAACATTAAAAACCATTTTCTAACCTTTGTTTCTCCAGCAATGGGAGCCACATTACAAACTTTCTTGGCACGCAAGGTGTTAATGATTGAGCTCTTTCCCACATTTGGGTAGCCAATAAATCCAACACTGATCTGCTGGCGGTCACTGTGTAACTAGACAAAATATCAAATAACTGAATTGTTATTTCATACTGAAATGTGGCATTTAAATACATTAATGAAGATTCAGATTTCAACATTCCACAACATAAAATATAATAAAGGTTACAAGTTATACTAAAGTACTCTCTTTAGACTCTCTCCACTGGTTACTGGATGGGTGTAAAAATTAACTTACTTTTCCAAACTGTCTTAGCAAATTAATCATAGCTCCTTTGCCGAATGAATTGGTGATGCTAGCATGGAAAGCTAACGTGGGGTATTCAGATGACAAAATAGCAACCCATTTTTTCTGAAAAACAAAAAAATCATCATCAGTACAATTTATTTTTAAAAAAGAGCAATGTTTCAATTAAATTGAATCCGCTGACTTTAGCCTGCATATATATATATATATATATATATATATATATATATATATATATATATATATATATATATATATATATATATTGTTTCATAATTCAACAATTATCAATAACTCCCAAAAACATTACTGCAAAAATAAAAAAGAACTTCTGTACTTTTGTCAAAGATGGCAAAGGGCTACCTTAATAATATGTCATTTTAAACAATGAAATACATTTTATTAACTTTACCGTAACCCATGTTGGCACAAGATCACACTTGTTCAACACAAAAATGAGGTGTTTGTGTGGCTTTTCTTTTTTAAGGTAGGCCTCCACCTGGCGACACCTGGTGCCGAGAGGATCCCTAGCATCCAAAACCTGGAGTATCACATCGGCTGAATCTATAACCTGAAAAATTCAATTCAAATTTTGATAATGCATTAAAAACAATTCTTGAGGTAAAGGTGAGACTGGTAAGCAGACTACCACTACAATTGTCATTATTTTCATCTCCTTACTTTGTACAGTTCACTCCAAATCCTCCTGGAAGTCCCTGCCCTGAAGACCAGTTCCTTGGCCTCTTCTTTCACACCAGTGTCCTCTATATCCAAGTCTCTGTCCTTTTCTGCATCATACTTGTCTGTGGATGACTGGGCAGCAGCAAGGAGACTCTGAGGATGAAGTGACACATTTTTTTAAATCTAAAATGACCTTTTTCAATGAAAAATAGGGATAATCTTAAAGAAATTTTAAACAAGTAAAGCAAAATCAATGTTGCACTGCTAGGAATATGATCACACTTTATTCAGTAAATAATGTTATCTGGCTTCATATTAATGTTTGTTAAATGTTCTGCTAATCTATCATTTAAAGTGCATCCTTAAGTAATATAAAATAAATAGAAACAACACAATGAAAGACAACTTATTATTAGGCATACACATGTACATGCCTGTACATCCACTGCTTTAATGTTAGGTTTTTTTCTCAGAGATTTCGGCCCAAATGTAGACTGAAATGGTTCTGTATCCAGGAGATGAACTCTAGCATGCTATTTTGTCAAAAGAAGACATTTATATAAAATTAGACAGTACTAAACAAGTAAAATATGTAGTTATTAAAAACCAGTTATTTCAGTGAAATGTTCAAAAATAAATATTCCTTTTCATTATGTTTGTCACTCTCCCTGTAGTTCAAACTATTAAATCTAAAACAATTAGACAATATTTGGCTATCAATATACTAGTAACAAAATATTTTATTATATTGATATTATAATAAATATGTTAAACATTTTATAATCAAAACTCGTCTTAATGGCTCAACACCCTTGCTGTGGGTGAAATTTGATGTACAAATACCTTAAATTAAGTATAAGTTTTATTGATCTTCCCCAAAGGAAGCAATTTAGTTACCTTAGCAGTTTCATTCAGGAGGGTGATGGGTAACTTAGTCTGTTTCATGACAACTTTATATGGGTCTTTCATAACTTTACCCATTTCTTCTTGAAAAGACTGTAAAGCTTTCTGAGTTATTACTCTAGTATTGCCTGCAAAGATTAATGCGAGGGTTAATTATATGTGTAAGCACAATGAATGTTTCCATTTAAAAGGCTATTACATTAACAGCACCATTGCAAACAAACAACAAATAAGAAGTACAATCTATCAACAAAGCAACAATATATGTTATAATCATAAGACCACATACAAAAAGGAATACATAAAAATCACCAGAAATGAATGAAGATAATATTCAAATTTAAAATCTCCAAACAGAAAATTGTTTAAAGAAATAGTCAAGTTCTCACCAAACCATCTTCTATTTGGCTCAACCCTGGCCACAGTACCAGATGCAAGGGTGGATTGATATGGTGCTGGCTTGGTTATTTTTCCATGTTTGTCTCTGCAAACAATTTTTCAGAGAGTTTATGATATATTTCAATGACGTTTTAAATATAATATTGCCCTTAGCATGAAATACAAAATTCATAAAGTATGTGACCTTTATGTGGAATCTTATAAAAATGCAATACCTTTAAAAGACATTAGTTAAGAGTACACATACCTTTTGGGTTTAAAATTTCTGTACATCTGTAACCTCTTTATGGTAGCTCTGTCCCTCATGTTCTGACCTCCTGCACCTTTGGCTCGATCTATCAGAATAAAAGCAATAATGTAAATGAATTTCAGTGGCCCATGCATTTTCAAATGCACTTCCTTTGTTTGTTTTTAAAAGAGAAACAAAACCTGATCTACATGGAGACAAGCTGATCAACATTACAAGATTCACAGTACTTGATTCAGCATGGTGCAGCTTGAGGAGGCAAGAAGTAAGAAAATATTTTGAGAGCTTCAACATCTGGTGGATGCTCTAGCTAGCAGTTGTCTAAGGCAATAATGTTCAGGTGTGAGTATAAATACTAAATATCAAAAATGTAAACACTAGCTAGTGCTAAAACAAGGATTTTCATTCTATATAAAGTATTGTCAAAACTTCTTCAATTGGTAAATTCATCAATAATACAGTACATGGGGCCGTTTCTTTTTTTCATTTATAATCAAACTCATGTTCTTGAAATATCCTTACAACGTGGGCATATCCCAACGTCCAAATTTAAGACACTAAAAAAAGTGCTCACACAACAGCAAATTAAGACAAACTACATCATATATAAGAAGCAGAACTAATGTTCTAGTGTTGTAGTAGTCCAGCTTTTAATAAAAAAAATATTTTAGCCCGAAATTACCTGGATTCATGCTGTGGTTGGCCCTGTTTATTCCATCTCCCTTTTTGGGAGCTTTTCCTGCTTTTTTTGCTTTACCCATTTTGATGATTTTCCTATTACTTTGATATATCTGTGTAATTTTATGTTATTTCTATTACTTATACTACATGTATTAGTAAGTGCTTTCAGCTAGCGGAAAACGTGGAATATATGATACGGACTGACGTCCTTGGAAGTTTGCATTGGCTAAAATTTCTGGGTGCGGCATCAGTGTGACGTCAGAACCGGGGAATTCGACGGGACGAGTTTTGAAAGAATTTATAATGAAACGCAAATTCCCAAGAGCCACAGTCAAATCTTTAGCAAGGAGAGGAAATAAGAAAATAAGGTTAAAAGGGAAGAAAGTAGACGTACTGGTGAGGTTCAGAATAAGGTGTTCATTTTTTATAATACTGGGCATTACATTTCTGGATAACATCAACAGTCATCATTCACAAAAGTGAATACAATAAATTCAGTTTCAAATCTGATACAATTTGATTTTAACACTAGCTTTGCAGCTGTTCACTGATAGTTATAGAATAATCTAATGGTGTGTGATATCGCCTGCAATAAATTGACTAAGTTTTAACACAAAGATTGGAAGCCGCTTTCCAATGTTTTATGATAGAAATATTATTTCATACACAGAGAAACAAGCGCTTCACTTGGCCGTATAATTTGACTTTTAATGACTCTTTCTGGTAGAAGTTCCATGTTTTCTGACAAAAAAAAAAAAAAAAAAAAAACAAAAACATTTAAAATACTTACATAAGTTAACACAAAAATCTGCGATCCAAAAAACTGTGCTAGCGACTCGACCACAACAGTTAATATGTGAAAAATCTCATTATTGAGATTACTTAATGACTCATGTTATCAAAGCTTGGAAGTGAAAAATTAATGGAATTTGTTTTCTTTACTGCAATAGCTCTTCTTGGACTACATGCTTTTCTTGAAGAGGCTGGCCAACAAGGCAGATGCTTTGGCTCAGGAAGAAAAACAGAGGATCCTTAATGCTGGACACATCAGAGCTGTTAAATCTGTAAGCAGGTGTCATACTCTTGATGTTTATTTGGTCAGGAGTATCATGGGGTTTTGCTGCCTTCAATGATTCATTGCTTCAGTTTAAAAATTGTGTTTATGGCTCACATTCCTGTTTTGCCTTTCTTTGATAAGAATTCCCCACTCAAAATGTAATTGATGGCATTTCATCTCACTCTTGGGACTAGGACACCCTGAGCTTCAGAGATAACTTGACACTAACCTCTTCACAATAGCCTATCTTCATCGTGTCAAGTTACCTCTGACCACATTCGATTGCCCCCGCCGCCCGCCAATCAAATTTAAAGCCCGCACTCAATGACTCATTGAACGATCTAGCCAATGAACGCGAACGAGTCAAAGCGTGCTTTGTTCAAATCCGGACCAATCAAAGATAAGGCTGAATATCAGGGATTTGCCGTAACCTGTGGGCAGCACGCAAAATACATCATCCCTCAGTAGATAATGATGCAGGGCCTCAAACTGCTCTGGTTTCAATTCCGATATACTCATATTTTGCAAAGAATCAAGAGATAACTTAACACATTATTTTACGTAGTCACTCGTAGGAGACGCCATGCTTTCTTTGTGTACGGTTATGCACTCGGAACTACTCGGATGTCTCCGCACTCGACAATAAGTTTGTTGTTAGTATGGAGCTTGCGGAATCAGCCGAGGATTACCGATTGACGGTCAACCAATCAGCGTTTTCACCAAACTTTGGTGAAAAATTTTGAAACTTGGTTTCGATTGGCTTATATAAACTAGGTCAAACTATTTTCGTCAGAGGTAACTTGACATGATGAAGATAGGCTATAGTGAAGAGGTTAGTGTCAAGTTATCTCTGAAGCTCAGGGTGGACTAGGATGGCTCGACTACTTAAATTAGTTTAAATTGTTCAGTCTTATTTGAAAGTCATTTTCAGAGGAGATATTGTTATAAATAAAACTCCACTTATTAATTTTTGGGGTACAAACATATCATGAATTTTTTTCAAAATTAATTAAGAGGTGCATTATGGTTTATTTTTTTTACAGCAAGTTCTCACTGCATCAAGAGGGTGAAGGAATACATCAAGCATATGTCAGTTTGAGAAATGTTGGCCTTGGATTACATCTAGATCAGAAGAGATCGGCTTGAAATTAACTATCAGCGTTGGATCAGGATGCCTTTTTCATGTTATGTGGCAGTTCATTGGATATGAGACATTATTAGATAATGGAATTAAATGTTCTAAGTGAATATTTCTGTAGATACTGTCAACTCAACCTGAAATGCCATTTGCAAACAAAAAAGTTCTTTTATAAAACAGAGCTTGGTGTAATATTCATAGACTGAAGTAGTATGTGTGTGTGTGTGTATATGATACTGTACATAATTTGATTTAATATTTAAATAAATTGATTGAAAAGCTGTTCCATAGTTAGGTTTTGAGGTTATAAACATTAAAGGTTGTTATTGAGAATGTAAGACAAAACTTTTAACTACCATCAAGCAAACAATTAGTATTCAAAAAGTTGGAATTTTGTCATACATAATATTTCTGCTGTAAATGTTTTATTAATAAAGCTGTAAGCTTGAGAAACAAAAAGTTGAAGGTTGGTAGTTGCGAGTTTAATGCTACTAAGGCTTAAAGATGTAGACCAATCGTCACTTAGGAACAATTAAGTTTATTTGAGTATTAAAAACCAATGTTATGGCTCTAATTTAACGAAATACATTTTTTTGAAAAAGTGATTTTCCCTTCTTCAATGTAGCGCTATAAGAAATGTGTCAGTGGTCTCTAAAATTCACTCACTAAAAACCTTGTTGCAAAAGTATGAATGAAAAAAACTTCATATCTCAATTTAAACTAAAATTCTTTACAATAAAAATATACCAAATGCAGACAAAATTGCTTGATCAAAACCTTGAGATAAAACCATACACAAGACTTCAATGCAAAATCCCACTTTAAACATCTGACTTAAGCTAGAGGAAATTGTTATATGTAGTCCTTGTATTTTCTGATTCTTTGAGCACAGGTTTTAGTTTCACTTTCTAATTACCATGCTCTTGGGATATAAGAACACCATGGCTATCTAAAGGGAAACGAGGCATCACATGCTGTCAAATTGACAAGCGTATATATTTCATGGGAATGCAAGACATAAAAAATCCAAAACAGATGAAACATGGGGAAAAAGGGGAGAGGGCAGGCTATCTCTAAAACATTCTATCTAGCTTATTTTCAAACTAGTGTACATAAGTTCTTTAAATCATTTCATTGTAAGTTTAATAATTATGCATTACCCGATTTTACATTTACTTGGTATAAAGGTAAAAATTGCAAAAATACCTGCAAACATACCAGTACTGAAGTCAAACAGTCTGATTAGGGGCAATAATCCTGTAAAACTTTTACTTTACAGATATGGATTTTATAAACATTTTAAAAAAATCAAAATTTCACAAAAAACACCATAATGCATGCATTTGTTCCTATTTTTTTAAACATGAAATAAAGGTATGTTCTTCACAAACAGCTGACATTTGTTACCTTAAGACTTGTACTTACACTTGCTAGAATGGAAGTTTTCAGAAAGTCAAAGGGTGAGCCAAATGTAAAACAAGGCAGCAAAGCTGTCAAATGTACAGACAAAAACAAAATAAAAATGCAGAAAATGGGTAATTTTGTCAATTTTGATGCAATAATAAATAATGCTTATAATAGCACCGTCAAACAACACTGAATTTTAATCATGCACAACAGGTAACACGGTCAATAACAGGAGCAGATCCAGATGTATTTTCTGACAGTATTCCAAATTATCTTTGTTGATCCATCCTCCATTTTTGATGGTCTTCCAACAGAAACAAAATTGATACCCGTCAATGTAAACTTTAAAATCTAACTGTCATCTGAAAGACCCAGAAGACGGCCCCAAGTCACCCCTGCAATAAGATTACAGTTTCAGGACCATGAGAGTTCAAATTCACATAATGAAAATCCCAATATTTGAAAAATGTTGACAGTGCATAAAATAATATTACATAATATTTAAAGACATAAAAACCTATGCAACTGCTTATGTGGAAATACAGAAAATGTGAAGAGCTTCAGGTGGATGGGAGCTGAAAATGCCAGTGTTTGATAACCCCAATGTGCTTGAGGATAATAAGATCGCATTCACAACGAGTTGAGACAGGCTTTACAAATCCTGGGGACTAAATATGGCGGTCGTACATGAAAGAAAAACCGCCTAATCTTTTAATAGTCTCTCCGCCTCCCACACGCCTCCCCACACGTCGTCCCTGCGGGGGGACAGTCATTAAATCTCGGCTCCATTGGGACGACACATGGGGAGGCGTGTGAGAGGCAGAGAGACTATTAAAAGATTAGGTGTTTTTTCTTTCATGTACGTCCGCCATATTTAGTCCCCAGGATTTGTAAAGCCTGGCTCAACTCGTTGTGAATGCAATCTAAGGCACTGTTATTCATCTATAGCATTAATGTTGGCGTTACACAAATCTTTTTCTTTTGTAAACCTATTTGCAATATTAAACAACATTTACCTGCATAATTATCACCGATTCCTAATTATGTGACACAGTTAAGAGAGCTTAACCTATAGGACTTGAATGGGAAATCTCAACGTGTGTTTTATGTAATCTTACTTAATGGGCACTTGAAAATTAATTAGGCAAGTGATTTTATAGCTCTGAATTTAGCTAGCGATTACCCCAAGGGACAATTACCACCATCCATAAACAGTAGCCCCATATAGCACTCTATAGAGCTGCATTGCTTCCCAAACAGAAAACAATCACACTGATTTCTAACACAAGCTGCACTTCAATCCTATGAAACTTTTCAGTAAGTTAGAATATTATAAGTAAAATGGTTTTTCCTTAATGGTCATCCCGGCAGCGATGTCCAAAATAGGGTTTTCTTCAACTTTTATGCAATATAACATAATGCTTAACAGCACAATGGCCATCAATTTTTAATAATTAAGTAAATGTATCTTAGATATTCAGAAAATGTGACTAGCAATGGTATTCAAGCCAATGGAAGTTCAAAGACTAAGTCACACCTTGAAAATGTCCATATGTGAAAATTTTAATTGTAACAAAAAACTATATAATTTCCAAGAAAGTTAACCGATATAACAGGTTTTCCAACTGAAGCTATAATTTAGTCCTATGCTACATTTCTGTAAGTTTGAGAAGAGTAAGTGACTTGGTTTTCCTTTAATGGTCACTATGGAGGCATTGTCTAAAATGGGGTTGTCTTCAATTTTGATGCAATATTACATAATGCTTAACAGCATAATGACAATCAATTTTTAATAATAAAATAAAAGTATCATGGATATTCAGAAAATGTGACATGGAAAGGTCTTCAAGGCCATGTAAGTTCAGAGTCACACCTTCAAAATGCCAAAATGTAAACAAGAGATAACTGTACTGAAATGAATTTCTTTCCACTTTCAACACTTTTTTTACATATAACAAAATAATCAATTTACCAGGGTTCGCACAACTCTTGAAAACACTTGAATTTTATTTTCTAAAATCAAGTCCTTGAATATGCTTTAAAAATGGAGCAAAACCCTGGAAAATAAAAATAAACCCTTGAAAACCCTTGATTATGCTTGAAAAATAAAAAAACTAGAACTTTTTAAATCATTTTAATATGATTATTAAAAACAAAACTCGAGTCGGTCATTTTTTAACGGCGATATATAACAGTCTGCCATTTCTCTTGGCCCTCTAGTGTGTCAGTTGAAGAATCATATTGCTGGAATCGAACACACCCCCAGTGTGACGGGTAATTGCGAGATTTCGCGATAGTGGCGCCATTTTGTGTTTCACAAAACGTGCATGAGGAGGTTTGAAATTTCGCATCAACATGGTTGGATCGTGTACTTTTAGCGACCGCTGGTTAACTAAATACAACTGGTTATCTCACGGAAAGGATAAACAATCCGCTCGACGCACCGTGTGTTTGAAAGAAATAAATGTTGCAAATATGGGCGAATCGGCGCTCACAAGGCATGCTAAAAGTGCTAAACATAGACAGTTGTCTGACAGGAACAGATTATCAGTAGCTCAGTTTTTTGATAGAAATTCAACTTCAAGCACTGTGAGTGCCGGTAACTCGGAGAAGTCGGAGTCTAGCAGAGCAAATTCTTTAAGTTCAACAACCCCTAACACTACAACCGCTATCATGGGCTCCGCGGTAAGCACGGCTAAGCCGAAGGCGACAGCAAGTTATGTTACAACAAGTGCCACGCTTCGGGCTGAAGTGATGTGGGCATTAAAGGTCGCCACATCACATTACAGCTTAAATTCGTCATCAGATGTGGGAAATTTGTTTCGCAATATGTTCCCAGACAGTGATATAGCTTCAAAGTTTACATGTGGTGACAGTAAATGTGCATATCTGTGCTGTTTCGGTATTGCTCCACATTTCTCATCTTTGTTGAAAGAACACTTGAAAAAAGACAATTATGTACTCTTATTTGACGTTAGTTTAAATCACAAAACACAATCCAAACAGATGGACTTTCATATCCGATCATGGAACCATGATGAAGTCAGTACAAGATATCTGAGCTCTGAATTCATGGGACATGCAACTGTTGAAGACATGCAGTCAAAATTTGAACACTGTATTGAAGGACTGAACAGGAGAAATTTAGTTCAACTATCCATGGATGGACCGTCAGTAAATTGGAAATTTTTTGATACCATTCAAACAGAATGGGAAGACGATCTAAACATTTCGCTACTTAATATTGGTAGTTGTGGACTTCATGTGATTCATGGAGCTGTACAGCGAGGTGCTAATGCTACTGGATGGGGAATAGACAGTTTTCTGGGATCACTGTTTTATCTGTACAAAGACACACCAGCCAGAAGAGAGGATTTCACTAAAGTCACAGCATCAGATATATTTCCCATGAAGTTTTGCAAACACCGGTTAGTCATTTGTCATTTTTATAAGGTTAAGATTTATTTAATATGAATGTAATTATATAATGAATAACAGTGAATGATGCATGTTTTTATTTTCTTTAAACTTATCTTTTATTTTCAGTCGGTGTACAGTGCATGAAATGGAATTTCATTTATTTTACTGGTAATGAATATATTTGTTTTATTATTTTATTTTGTTTTTTACGGGAAAAGGAGCTATATGCACAACAAATCACACACACACACACATATATAGCTCTTTTTTGGAGATTATTTCTTTCTGGTTCTGATTGGTTCTTTTTTGGTTCTTTTCAGTGGTAGGCTTGACCCCAAATTTTTTAATTTGTCCTGGTTAGTGTAGAATAAAGCCTATTGTGTATTGAAATCAATAGACTAAGAAGAAGCAGAGATACATAAACTTAACAACTTTTCATGTATTTCTTACAGGTGAGTTGAGAACGTGCCAGTCATAGACAGGGCAATGCAGGTATGGCCAGATGTACAGCAATACGTGAAGGCTGCACGCACAGGCAAGGTCCCCAAGCCCACCACCAAGTCATTTGAGGTTGCAGACCAATGGTGTAAAGATCCCCTTGCATTACCAAAGCTCATGGTTTTCAAGTCAGTCGCAAATCAAGTCACACCATTCCTCACTAAATATCAAACTGATAAGCCAATGGTACCATTTTTAGCTGAAGATTTGCAGAAAATTGTGAAAGGATTGATGAACCGCTTTGTAAAGAATGATGTCTTAAAGTCTCATTCTACATGTCAAAAGATTGTTAAGGTGGATGTTGCTGAGAAAAAAAATCACTGTGCTCCAAAGAACATTGACTTAGGCTTTAGTGCAGAAAAGGCTGTAAAAGAATTACTCACATCAAAGGAGATAAGTGAACTGGATGAGTTAAAGTTCAGGAAAGATACTGAACAGTTCCTTGTGTCTACTACACAGAAAATTCTAGAAAAATGTCCCCTGAAGTACACACTAGTCAGAAATATGAAGTGTCTTGATCCAAGATGTATGGCTACATCAAGTCTTATTGAGGAGATGAAGAAGAAAATGACAAGATTACTTACTCTCCTTGTTGAAAGCAAGCGCATTAGTGAAAATGACTGTGATGACATAATATACCAGTATGTGCAGTTTTTACAAGATGTTGTGCCTAGATCTACCTGTATCTGACGATTTAAGGACTTTGATCCAGTTAGTGATAGAGTTGACAAACTCATGTATGAAATGATGGCATCCTCTGACAGCTACAATAAACTGTGGGGTGTGGTCAAGGTGTTGTTGCTTTTGTCTCATGGACAAGCAAGTGTTGAAAGGGGCTTTTCTGTCAATAGAACAATAGAGACTGAAAATCTTAAAGAAGAGAGCTATGTTTCACTTAGAGTGATATGCGACCATGTCCATTCATTAGGAGGATTAAGCAATGTCCCAGTTACAACAGCCTTACTGTTGTCTGCAGGGAGTGCTAGACAAAGATATCAGAATTACTTAGAGGGAAAAAGAAAGCAAGCTGAAGAGGACGGCAAAAAAAAAAAGAAAAGAAAGTCTGTAATGGAAGATATTGAAGAAATTAAATAAAAGAAAAAATGCATGGAAGATGAATAGAAAAAGAATTGGAAAACAAAATAATTGAGATGAAAAATACGTAAAAAAAACAAATGCATATACAGGGTGGTACGGACTATATGAATTACGTGAAATATTGACAAAGAATAGTGTGTATCAATAAAATGTTTCAAGATGTGAATTGTTTTGTTCGAATGTTATTTAACAATATGAAATACCACAATTTTACTTAATGTATTGTTTCATGAAAATTGAATATATAACTAACAATTTCAGTGTAAATTAGTCCTTGAATTTTGAATATATGACCCTGGAAAGTCCTTGAAAAGTCCTTGAATTTCATTTCAAATCATCTGTATGAACCCTGATTTACTGTCATTTTTAAATGATAAACTAAGAAAGTTGTTGACATAGGAAAAATATCAATAGAACAATTTTAAATGTCCAATTTGCTCCATTCTGAGATTCTGAACATTGTGAATGATTGAATCTGACAAAATGCAAAGATACGAGTTTATTTCCATTTTTAACACTTTATTACACAATACACAATAACAGGGTTACCATCTTTTTTGTATAATCAACTAACAATATTGTTAAGATGCAGAAAATGTCAAAAGATCACCTTTACATTTTTAATTAGTTCACAAATGAGATTGTTAACATGCTTAAGAATTAAATCCGAGGAATAAAACACTTTTATACAAAAAAGGCATAACTTCACCAAAACTGAACAGATGGAGCTTATTTTCTAACTTCATCTGTATTTCAGTAAGTCTGATCACCCCTGTGAATTTCAAGACAATTGATTTTCCTTGAAATCAGTAATGCATATGCTGAAAAAAGGGAAAAAAACAGCATAACTTCCATAAAAATGGCCTGATCATGGGGATTTTCAAACTTGACCTGCGTATTATGAATATTCATCAGTTCTGTAAGTTTCAAACCAAAAGAAAAAAGTGTTTTCCACTTTTCGTGTTATCGGTGACGACAGCGACGGCAACGACAGACGCAGATGATGGCTATATGTACAGACACATCTGCGTCTGTACATACAAATAGTGCCAGGTGGAATGCTTCTGTCTTGTGAAATATATCCTCAAGTTCCTCCACACATATGTAAATATATATTTGGTATATATATCTAAGTAACCTAATTTTAATGCACAATCCCATACCCTGAAAAAATCTTGCTGCTAAGCCCCCCTAAATAAATAAGATTTAACTCAATTCTCTTATATATTATAGTTCTTCATGTAAGTGTTCACCATAATCTGTAGCTTGACTTCCAACCCACAATTCATGCTGTGCAACTATTTCATCTTTTGTTACTTTTCCATCCTTATCAACATCACTTTCTGAAATCAAGTGTTCAGCCTCTCTCTGTGCAGCCTCTTCATTGTCTGGGGATACCCAAGCTTTTAATTCCTCATTATCTAAAACTCCATCCTTGTTTTTGTCTAATTCAGCAAAGTTGTCTTTTTCTACTATCTCTGATTCCTTGCTGGTTTCCTCTGCAAAGTAAAATAATATTGTTAATAATAATAAAGATAAATAGAAGTAATATGTACAAGGAATAAATATCTAAATGTTCTACAAATGCTCTGAAAGCTGGGGAAAGTTTTTCTTCAGTATACCGATCTTGATAAAATGCTTCAAAGATCAAACTTAAGGGCGAAATTTCTGGCAATTATAATAACCTATTCCCATTATAGTACAGTGTGGTGTGTTCTGTAGCGCTATATGATCTGTTTTTGTCTAATACATTTCATTGAAGTTATAATACTTCTTTTAAACAGAGTTTTAACATATACTCTAATTTGCATGGTAATCTACATACATACTTACCATCTCCTAAGAACTCCTGGAAAGACAGTTCCCCATTTTTGTCTTTATCCAAAGATAATAAAGTGACTGCAACCTCAGCATCTGTCATATGCTTATAGTCATAAGGGTGGAGAAATGCAGCATACTCATTCTCATCCAATAAATTGTTTTTGTCTTGATCAGCAGCAGCAAATTTTATTTCATCAATCTGTAAGCTCTGAAATAAACCAACCACATGAAAGTTTGGTTGTTTTCTCTTGCTTAAACTGGGAAAAATAGTACATGTATTAAAAATTCATAATTCAAAGAAAAAGAGCAAACATATTTTCAAAGCAATTCTTTTTACCCTTATAACATATGGATTTCCTCATTAATTATAAAATATGAATGCCCTAAAATTACTTTATAATGACTTGAAATAACTTAAAAGGTATAGTTTAAAGATCTGTACAAATTTTTTATGATACCTCTAAAATGTGTTCATTGTCTTCATTTGGTTCTTTCTTTAAATCTTCAATTTCTTTTGGTGCATAATTGTATGACCCTCTTATGTATTCCTCCCAGCTAACATATTTATCCTCATTACTGTCATGTTCTAAGAATTTGCTTTCTGCATCTTCTTCATCTAAAGTTCTAGAATAAATAACATGTTTAATCCACAGATCAATCATTTACATAGGAAACTTTGATTTATTATGAGTTACACACCTCTGAGTGACAGTAAATAATTTATAATAAATAAATAAATGTGCACAGCTTGAAATGTTTTATCATCTCTCTTCATTTATACCAGAAGCAATGATTTTCTATCATCCATATTTGCTACACTTGGCTCATAAAAATGGGATTTGGTGGATATTTTAACTAATGTCTTTTTTTTTTCATCAAGATCTTACAAGATGAAAAAAATAAGGTTTTCTAAATGTTACTTTTTTTGTTCTTCCGTTGCTCATCTTACCTAAAAGAATTTACTATCCAAAGTATAAGTTCTTCCTTAGTTACAAAACCATCTTTGTCCTGGTCCATCTTATCAACCAGCTTGCCCAGGCGTTCTTTGGCCTCTTCTGGTGGGAGCTGGTCAAACTCTTCTTCTAAATTCTTCCTTCCTGAAATATGATTATTATCAACATTAGCAATATTTCTTAAGTACAATGTATATATATGGTTTCTTGAATGCCAAAATGGCTGCAATAAATATTTTACGTCAAATTCATACTATTTATTGTAGTTATTAATATGTAAAATTACTAGTAAGCATCACTGCTCAAGCTACCCTATAAACATGCAGTCTGGAAACTACAGTACTTAATTATTCTGCTAAATTTACCAATTACTGCTTCATGGTCAAAATCTGCATTGTGTATTCCTTCTGTGTAGTGATCGTCATTTGATCTAGGAAGATGCCCTCCATGCTCAGTATGCTCTCTACAAATACCCCAGTCAGACATCAAAAGCAGCAGAAAACTAAGACACATGCTTGGACTGATATCTGACTTTGCCATGTTGTACTCTGGAAAAAATATATACCGCTTGTCAATTTAAATGCTTTACTGAAAAAGAATCAGTGATGCAGGGATGCATTCAATGTAGGTTCAGAGTCAGGGTGCATCAGGGGCAGATCCAGAGATATTTTCTGATAGTCTTCCCAATTGTCTTTTTTGATCCAGCAGCAATGACAGTGGGAATTCGAAGTCGCCCCTCCCCCTTCCCATCTGAAATTCTTCGTCTCATGTTAAACCCCATTATCAGTTGTAAACTAATAAGTTACTAACATCAAATTGTTTATTTACCAAAACATGGGGCTCATATAAAATAGACATATCTACACCTGTATACTAGTATTTATGAACTTGGAAATTTGAAGCAAACACTAAGTCTACACATACACAACTGCACACACCAAGTGACGCGAAAAATCATGCATTAGCACTTTTTTCCATGTGTTAAAAAAGAGAGTACATATTTAGAAAATAAATAAAACCGTTAACACATAATTACAGAACATATAAAAATGTAAATAAAAGTTAAAACGTATAAATTAAGTGCTAATGTGAGGTTTTGCCTGCTACACGTACATTGTACGTTTGCTTTTTTCCGTAATCTGACATTTAGCAAACGTTTCGCACGTCTCAACACAAATCCTTTAAATGGTACCGATAACTGAGATAGGTCAAATGTAATTAAGAGGTGATGAAATGTGGATTTTATTTACCTTGCTCAACCCAAACAACAGAATCCCAGCCAACACTAGCAGTAGGCAAAGTAGACTAAAACGTACGTATAGATATTTTGAATTGTTCTGGTTATTTTTTATTTGATTTCCATAAATATTGATAATGCTGACATACAGTTGTATTTTTTATTATAAATTTGCAATAAATTAAGTTTTATTTGATTTTAATATTAACAAACGTGAAAAAAATGTTTTTTAATAATGTATATTATGCGCGCTATTACCCCTATTTGGAGCAGCCATTAGACGTTATCAGGTAAGCGATCTAATTTGTTTAATTATGTTAGTTGGGTTGTTTTAATAGTTTTATAACAGAAATTTCAAATCAAAACTTCATTAATTTAACTTAAGTTATAAAATGCTTATTTGCAATATGTAGAATTGCTGAGCGCGGACACCTGTTAATTGCGCATGCTCATTTTGAAAGGAGGGGCTGCGTTTCCGGTATGCGACCTGTTTGATATCGGTAAGTTTAGCATCACTCCTTCCTAATTTTACGTTTCTGTTTGAAATGTTGTCTGTGTAACAATCAGTTAGAAGTTTTTAAACATTGAATATCTTGTTGAGATGTTTTACAGCGTTGCAAAAAGTTTGAATAAAGTAACTGAAATGCAGTCCAGTGCCAGTGGTACAGATTTGAGATTTGCATTTGGACGATTGAACATGCTTGTTGACACAACCTCAAAATTTCCTTAAAGTTTTTCTTTCATTAATTTTTTTTCATTAGTATTGCGTGAAAAATTTCATTACCATCTTAAAGATTGATATCCACATATAGAAATGTTTTAAGATGATGGGTCCTTCACTGTATTGTTGGACATTGTAATGAGTCATGTGCAATAACATTTTCCTTATATGGAAGAAAATCACACATGGTTACTCCAGAGGCATTTTGGCAGGTTTATCGTTTTAATTGCAGAAATGTGATTGTCATTATATACTGATGCAAGATTAGACTTTAAAAGAAAATACATTTTTGTTCGCTTAACGGGGTTGGTTACAGCTCATGATATGATGATAAAATTTGTTTGGCATGAAACAATTGATACACAATATTAATTTGAGAACTATTCTCCAAATTCAGAATTTTATCAGACATGGTCTTTTGTTGGAATGGCGTATGATTTTAGCAAAATACCTATTTTGCATTGAGCATATTTGTCATTTAACATAAAATTTTATGTCGATCTGTTATATATTTGGACCTTTTATTTCATCACACACACACACACACACACACATTTTGATAAAAGGGGTATACTAGATTCCATTTTTCCCATTTATCTGTTCATCTGCATGTGCTTTCTTCCTCGTTCATTTTCACTAGTAAATATAGTTTTTAATTTTCACAAATGAACACCTGAAGATTAACAAACTTAAGAAAAATTAATTGGTACTAAAGCATTGTTTGGATATCTGGTCATCACTTATCAAATTTTTAAAATTTAAAGAAACCTAGGTCTAAAAGTCTAACCTTGCATCAGTTGCATGTATTTTAGACTTTGATTTGCTGTAGTATACCTAGGTATGTAAAATACAACAAGGGAATAAATTGAAAAGGTCTTAGTTCATCTATGTCAAAACCTAGCCAGGAACCTGTCTTGATGCGTGCTTCCACTTGCCATATCTTTGTCTTTGCATCAAGAGATCACTTTGGGGGATTTATTTTATCCCCTTTTCTCCATTTCTTCAATTGAGCAAAATACAGAGAAGTGGGATGCTGTGAGTGATAGTTAAATTTTCATTAAAAAAATCAAATATTAGTAAATACTATTCCTCTGTGTAAAAGTTTCAACAGATGTGTTTCTGCACTATTTGGTTTGAATGGCATCTGCAATGTGAGTGTTTAAGTTGTTTTGGCCAATTTATATTATTATATTCTGACTTTAGCTGCCATTACCACTTTATGTTATGAAGAGAATAATTTACCTCACAAGGATTTTAAATGTAGTCTTTGTGTTTGGGGCAATCTCAGTCTTAGATTTATAGTTATTGAATTTAATGATGCATAAAGAGACAATTTCAATTTCATTTGATGAAGCAGTCTCTACTTTGCTTCAGAATTTTTTTTCAAAGAAAAGATTTCTATTTAAAGATATAATATCAAGTAAGTCTTACTGTTTATTTGATTTAGACATTACACCTGGTAATGGATATATATATATATATATATACACTTCCCACAGATATGAAGAAACAAATCTGCAGGCACTGACAACTTGGATTATTCTTAGTTTTCAAACATCTCCTAGCCATGTTTTTTTACAGCCAGCTGGTGATGCATGCCCTCCAGGATTTACTTGTATTTATACATGCATGCAATATGATTTGAAAATCATTTGACAGAATAGCCCATATGTAGTTGTATTCTTTGACTGGGTGTCACATAACGTTGGACAATTCAATGAATTTTGATAAGTGTCTGGATTTACTTATTCATACTGTCATGAATGTTAACCAAGGGGTTATGAACCCAGATCCCATTTAGAACCATACAGGTAGAAGCTGTTGACTGTATTCATAACACATTCTTGACCAAATTTACCTGTTTTCACAAACAACTTAAGACCACCTTGGCTGTTCAGTTTGGAATGAAGTTCATATTTGCTGACTGGGAGTAAGTCTGTTATTAGAAGTCAGCATGGCATGGAGTTGAGATGTTATTTAGCTAATGAATAGGTAGGTGCTGCATGAACTCTGAGAGAAATGCCAAAGTTTTGAATGATTGCATGCTTATAAACATACTTACTAATTTTCAGGGTGCAGTCAACAGGAAATTTACCTAAAGGTTATGTTTATTTTGTATGGACATAACTGCCCATGAAAAGCTTTTTAAGGAAACAATTTATAGAATCTTTTTTCTTTCAAATGAAGTAGGAAAGCCACTTTTCAGATTCAGTGATTGTAAAAGTGATCCATGTGGATATTCCCTGTTTAGAAGATTTGAATTGGTCATGCTGGTCAAATACGTCAATTATATACAGTGGTCATAGTACTTACCTCTTGTCTGTTTGCATAATTCTGTACTATATCAAAATATTTCTGCCACTGTTTACTAACCCAAAGGCACTTACAACCTTTATAATACATATTGCTCAGGCATATTTCTTTTAATGATGAGGGAAATACCTGTACTAGTGCAGTAGTCATACAGTAATAAATCATCCATTTGGCATTCCCACTTCTGTTCCAATTCTGTCTGAGCAAGCATATTTGCCTTATATTTCAGCTTTATAGAGAATAAGTTGTGATATTATAATATGAAATATATGTTAAGAAGCTGAATATGTTAGTTTTTGAGGATATTGTTAACAGTTAGTTTGCACAAATCATGTACTAGTACAGTTTGAATTTATTAACAGTGGGGTTTGCTTTAGATTTCCTTGATGGTATTTTTGAGTTAGCACATGTTTCATCATATGGTTTCCGGACTTTCTTTTTACCAACCCAAGTCAGTCTGATTCATGCAGCTAATCCCAGATGTTCAATAAATGAGATACAAACCGAGGCTGATTTGCTTAGTTATTTGAAGCATGTTAGATATATAGGCCTCAGAGTTTCTGCATATAAATCTTTTGACTGCGTACAGGAAACTGGGCATTTTTTGTCGTGTAAATAGCAGGGTGGATCAGATTCACCTGTGAATGTACATTTTTAGAGTAGGTAGTTGGCCAATGTTATCCATATGATTGGATCTATGTCAGTGAGAAGAGTGACTGAGTGGTGAATACTAATATTATTGGCCCTGGTTCTTCAGTCAGACGGCAGCGTTAGTGGCATATGCTGTACAACCAGTATTGTTCATAGAAAAAATAGGCCTAGTGATTGTTTCGAGAAGGTTGGGAGGAAGAGTTCATCAGTATGTCAAATGATACACCTTGGAAAAAACCAATACCTACTCCAGGGAAGCTCAAAATTCCTGGAAAACTGCAGAGTTTACAGGAGAAGCAGGAGAAATTGAAACCGCCCATACCAGGTACTTGAGACACTGCTCGGATGAAATTGTTTTATGCACATCATTTTGTGATCAAGGCAGCACGGGTGATGTTATTTACTTTGAATAGCTTTGTCTGTTCAGGATTATTTGACATGTGTCTGCATGTATGTGTCATATTAGAAGAAATGAAGATATAATAGCTCAGGTAGTCTCATGAATACCATTTGGTTATCAGTGGGAGTGGTTCTGTCATAGATATTTGCAGTAAGGTCATGGTGAGAGGATTAGTATGTTAATGAGATACAATCAGGAAGTGCAGTTTTCCTCTTTGTCTATATAGGTTGTGTTTCACTTCAAAAGAATTTGGAATTTGGGATAGCTCTCATATGAGGTAACAAGGTGTAATTTCAATTTTTTTTTTTTTCATATTAAGAATTCGTATTTAATAATCTTTTATATTTATATATATATATATATATATAAAGAACTTTTCTTTTTCAGTTAAAAGAAAAGAAGTTAAACCACAATCTCCATCTGCCCCAGCAAAGGAAGAGACAAATAGTACCCCAGCTAAGCCCAGTGTTGAGGCAAAGAAAGAGACTAAACTAGTATCTGCATTGAAGCAGCCAAAGCCTGTAGAGCAGAAGGCCAAAACTGCAGAAGCTGTTGTGAAGAAGGAACCTTTGGTTGAAAAGAAGGACGCTGCCGTCATAAAGAAAGAACCTTCAATCTTAAAGAAAGAATCGAAGGTTGAAAAGAAAGAACCTGCTCCTATAAAAAAGGAACCTACTGTTGCAAAGAGGGAACCTTCAGCTGTAAAGAAAGAACCGAAGGTTGGGAAAAAAGAGACTGTTGTTGAAAAAGAAGAACCAACAGTTGAGAAAAAAGAGATTGTTGCTGAAAAACAAGAGCCTCCTGTGGAGAAAAAAGAGACTGTTGTTGAAAAGAAAGAGCCTACAGTTGTAAAGGAAGAACCAATTGTTGAAAAGAAAGAAGAACCTACGCCAGTAGATTCTACGCCTTCAGAAAAAAGGAGACCTTTAAAACCCATAAAACCCAAAGAAGATAAAAAAGATACCCGAGACCTAGGCAAGATGTCATCCCGTAAGACAAAAGGAAAGACCACCAAGAAGAGGGCCCAGCGTGCCACTTCCAATGTCTTTGCTATGTTTGATCAGGCCCAGATTCAAGAATTTAAGGAGGCCTTCAATATGATCGATCAGAACAGAGATGGTTTCATTGACAAGGAGGATTTGGGTGATATGCTGGCTTCATTAGGTATGATGCATTCTTCATAATTAGTGCATAATAACATGACTATTCATAAGTTTACAATAGAAAGGATATAAAAAATATTTTCTTTTTTGTTGTTGTTTTCTTAAAGCAATTAAAGTTTGTTTGAAAATCTTGATTAATTTGCTCAAATGAAACAATCTCAGAACCAGCCCCGTATGTTGGTCTGTTTATGTAATTCAGTTAATGAATTACTCCTTGAAATGTTCTTTATTACTTTGAAATTTCCTTTGTTTGAGAAGAAATACAAGTAGCTAGTAGAATAAATCATGCATTGTAAGACTACTGGTAACATTAGCACACATTAGGGAATGAGTAATGCGGTTAGCATATGAGTCATATATGGAGGTATGTACCTCCACAAAGACGACATGACCTAATTGTATTATTTAACATAGGAGACTGATAAACAAGACTTACTTGTAGAAATATGTTGTTATAAAAGATAACAATTATTATGCAAATCTAGGTTTTGTTTTGCTGATAACAGGAGAGGGAACACTACATCTTGCAAAATTTGCACTGGGGCTGTGTAAATAAACGGCAGCCTTTGACCATATTTTCTTAATATTGGATAGCAAAATTAATGGCACTTCATAGGTATTGCATTGTGATAACAGTATTGGCAGTAGAGATTTATATGAAAAGGCACCTTTTTATTGGTCTTGACCACTGGTCTGGCTAGAACATTGACCACCAGGTTCAGACTGTCTATTTTCCTTACTATGCTTTTAAAAACCAAATTACAACTAAGTAATACTGGTCTTGTCAGGGATTTTATTGCTCTGATGTCAGTGTTATAGTGCTTATGGCGGAGCATCATCTTTTTTATTTCTAAACAATGTTGCTCTTAAACTATGGATAGCATCCATACTTTCTGGAACCATTTGATTTGAGTCAATGATTCTTGCATTAGCAGAGACTGGTTCAAAGCATTTCTTGCCCTGAGGATAACTGGGGGAAAGGCTACCTTAATGCTTTATTTAGATTATGTATGTTTACTGGTTCCTTCCTTTAGAACCTACATGATTAGTTTAAATATTAAGTTGAGAATCTATAATCCCCAGATATTTACAAAGAATGCCATTCTTGGTTTTAGTTTTAAGGACTATCAGTAAATAATGAAATGCATATATGGAACCTGTTATATTGAATTTGGAATGTGATATAGACATATTGATACATACTATGTATTTACGTTGATTTTTTTTCTTTTTGCACCTTTACCAGGTAAGAACCCCACTGATGATTACCTTGAAGCGATGATGAATGAAGCACCAGGGCCAATTAATTTCACCATGTTTCTCACCATGTTTGGAGAGAAACTGAATGGCACAGACCCAGAAGATGTCATCAAAAATGCATTTGGTTGTTTTGATGAGGAAGGGACTGGTAAGAAATAAAATAGTGATTTTGTTTGGTAATGATGTAGATGAAAAAAATTTAACTTCAGCAAAAGATATCCAAGTTCTCTTTTCTGAATGCCTTGATATCGTGCTGTACTGTACCATCAAGTCCTGCATGGGATATGGATTCATTTTTTTTTTAAACCTTGGGTATAAAAAAAGTCATTGTTATGTAGACTCTCCTCAAAATTCTGCAGTTTGAAAATTACATTTCATATCAGCTTGTGCTTTGCATTCCAACCTGATTTTGAGGAACATTTCAATGCGAGTGTCTGTCTTAACATATCATGATTTTTAACCAAAATATTTCAAAACTTAATTGAGATTTTTTAACATATGGACCTTGAAACATTTATATTTCTCTCAGATATCATGGTCAGTAATTTGAAGCTAAATAATATTTGATGTGGATGGGAGAGATGCTTTTTATAAGCTTCTATTGTCTTCAGGTCAAATATTGACCAGTTTTTGAACATTGCGCAAATTGCATTCATTTGGGAATAAAAATGGTACCCTATGACCTCCACCATTAAATTAATGATATTTGATTTTGTATGCCAAAAGACTACTGTTCAGAAAAAAAGGACTGCCTGGAGTTTTTATTGATCAGTCTATGCTAAAATCACAAGGGAATGCTCAAAACTGCTAGACTGATCAAAACAATAGTGGTTCATCATCATGAAATTGGCAAGTGTTTCCCAAAGCTTTAGTTTTATTACTTTTAACAAATATTTTGTGCTAATGTATTATGTTCAAAAAGCTTTGCTATGAAAGGCAATATATTTAGAATTTGTCAGTTTTGTGAATTAACCCCAGTGTTTAAACAACTTGCATGCATGTGTTTTGGTTCACAGCTTACATAAAATATAAAAAGCTCATATTACATATTGGCTCCTTGCGGTGATTTATAGGATACTCACACAATGACTGCAATGCCTGAATCAAACAAATAATTAATTTTCTGAAAAGTTTCAACACAGTTGTCTTACTCAAAACCATTGACAAAATTACAATCTGTACATCAGTTTTTGCTTTGTTTCTGATTTATTTAGCAACTTCATAGTGGATTGCTGGACTGGTTCCACAAGAGCAAAAATTAGATATTAAGAGTTCAAAAACGGGTTTATAGAATGGATTTTCTTGGCAGTTTTTGATGGTACTGGGTATATACTTTAGTGATAAAGGGAAGATTGCTAAATTAAAAAGAAATTTGCTTTGTTTAATTAAGGTCCAGTGATGTTGAAATCTAGTCTAAAAGTGATCTTACATCTTTTTGATTGTGCTCCAGGTTACATTCCAGAGGAGAGACTGAGAGAACTATTGACAACTATGGGGGACAGATTTTCTGAGGATGATGTAAGTCGTGAGAAAAAAAACAAAGATAGCTTTATGTATGTCACTGACAGTGATAGTGTTGGATTTGCGTATGTATTTGCAAATGCTGTTGTAGCAGATGAAACTCTTGCTCTGTAACAATATTTATGTCTGATAGTAGTGGTAAAGGCCAGTGTGCTTGTGTGGGGCATTGAGCCGATAAGCTTTTTTTTCTCATTATGACTTGTTTTAGATAAATTGATTGATGTCATGAAGAAGATTCATTAATATTTTTTAGGTTGATGAGATGTTCAGAGAAGCTCCTATCAAGAATGGTAACTTCTATTACATAGATTTCACAAAAATCCTCAAGCATGGCAAGAAGGATGAAGATGACCAGTAGACCACATGCAAATAGACTTTTACTATTTTTCTAGCTGAGAAATATTGCCATACTTATAAATACATATAATGGCTACATTGGCTGAAGTATGATTGCTATGCTGTCAATGAAACCATTTATGAGTTGCCAATATATTAGCTTGCCCAAGTGGTGTATATTATCCTCATGGTGATTTGTAGAAGACTTCCATTATTATGATATAGTATAACTAAATTTAAACTAGTAAAATGGGTTTTTTTAACTTTGTAAATTTATCAGCTTGAAACTTTGAACAACTTCTCATTTCCACTTAGATACTTAGAGTTTATTACTGAATGTAGAAATCTGTTTTTTCTCTTAATTTTTTGAAGATTTAGCATCACGTGTTGGTGTATTCAAATTGGCTTCAGTTGTTAGCTATTTCGTTTACATTATCACATCGTCTTCTGAACTACCTTACAGGTGGTGGAATTGTTGGATTGTAAATATGAAATTTAACAGGAAAGAGATTCATAGATGTTAACTTTAATATTTATGTCCTTGTTGTTTAAAAATGTTGCAGCTTCATAACATATTTAGTGACTGCATACAAGATAAGAAAAGACAAATTTGTTAGAAAGTGTATGACTAAAATGAATCTGTAATGGAAAGGCAATACTCTTCTTTTATATATAGCTTAAAAGGTCAGGTTTGTGGTGACATTATAGGTAGAGATGGATGTTGCTTACAGTGTGGACTGTAGAATGTGTACCTCAAAGTATGTGATGTCATTTAGATAACAAGAAAAGAGATGATACCATTTATGGTTGTTAGCCTAACATCATCAAGGCAATTGAATAATTTGAACATGAAAGAACCAAAATCACATTTTTTTTTTCATTTGTCAAAATGTAACTACATGCAACTCCATTCAATGACTATGCAACAAAAGCAGTCTTGGGTCAGTGCTATTTCAGTATGATATAATTTGTTAACCTGTCAACTTAAAACAGCTGAACATTAAAGGTTTAAAAAAATGTTTGACTTTACTTACTGCATGGTTTTAGATATCTATGAAATTTTTAATCTACATACATTGTGTTCACAACTAAAATATTGAGTATCAGTATACGTCCTTAGAGTGTACAATTTTAATGTATGTTGTTGATGGGAACCTGCTTCCTCCACCCCTCCCGCCCCCTTTAATATTCAGAGAAGTTCAGGGTGTATCTTAAAGGCCTAATATCTGCAGTTGAAAACGTCCCAAAGTCATTTTCTATGTCTTCATATCCTTGAAAGCTACTTATCTTTCCCTGTTCAGAGCACTAAAACAATAAAACCCCTCAAATATCCTGATGTTGATATTTCCTTCATTGATGTACAGTAAGATATGGAGGTCTTACTAATGGTCAGTTATTTAGAACCAAATGATTTATAAAAAGTCTTAAAGCGTAGAATCCAAGTGCAGGGACTGTCATGCGTATAAAAAAAGTCCTCTTGGAATTTCTGTTCAAAGGGAAAATTACGAACTGGATACCTTTTACTTTTTTGCGGACCATTTTTCAAAACTAACTTTACATATTCCACACAGTTTCAAACACATAAATTTCGATAAATTGGTTCTGATTAGTTAATAATTTATTACCGACTGAAGCTACCGATTGATTATTGAAAGTTTCGAGTTGTGCTTGTCTTGATCTCCCTGCCACCTATATATCTTGTGTGTTGACAAAATGTCAATGCGGTTTATTTTGTGCCAGCATGCGTGATCAGCATGAAGTTAGACTGGTGTGACCAGGTCAAAACGTTTAAAATGCCATAGATCTGTTTTTGCCGGTGGTTTAGATGTCCTTTGTCTGGAAGCATGGAAAAATACCAAAGAATACGAGTCGTAGGAAGAGGTGCATATGGGTAATGATATGGGATATACTCCACTTGATCATTTTCCTTTCATATTATTATGAATACTTTTCTTGGTGACATACATTTGTATCTGTCCATATACGTCTAAAGAAACCACTACTGGTGTATATACGTTTGAGAATGAGGGTTTTTTAAAACCAATCTTTTAGGTTTCTCATAATTTACTTGAAAATGAGCTTTTATAGAAGAAAATTGAATGCTTCTTACAGTTTTTATTAATCTATTGGAATACTAATACTTTGAAGACATCACTGGCAAATTAAGTTGCTGGTACATGTAATACCAATAGTTAGCGGAATTCTGCATTTTTTAATTCAATTCTGATGGTTTCTGAGATTCGTCAAGGTTAGGTGTTGGGTACCATGATAAATGTTCAGAGTTTTTTTTTTTAATCTAGGCTCATGTCTGATAGTACTAGTGTAAAGATCACAAAAGCAGTATTTTCTAAATAATCAAATGTTGTTTCACACTGCATAATTTTTAAGCTGTTGATCAGTTTTATTGTACAACATTTAAGCAAAAACTAGTCTATTTAAATTTTGACCAAGCAACACTAATTTAATGCGCTTTAATTTTGTTTCTAGTACAGTGCATCTTTGCAAAAGAATTAGCGACAGGAAATTGATCATCATCAAAGAGATCCCTGTTGAACAAATGACTAAAGATGAGCGTCAGTCTGCACTGAATGAAGTGAAAGTTCTCTCCATGCTAGACCACCCTAATATCATAGAATATTACGAGAACTTTCTGGAAGATAAGGCTTTGATGATTGTAATGGAATATGCACAAGGTAAATGAGACTGTAATAAGTTGGGTTAACAAACAACAACTAAGGGCATAGGAATTAGATTTCTTACTTACAGTACTTGTATGCTGAGCTTATCATCTCCAGACAGCTAGCCTGCTTAGGCCGCATTCACATCGAGTTGAGCCATGGCTCTACAAAGCCACGACCTAAATATGGCGGACGTACGTGAAAGGAAAACCGCCTAATCTTTTAATAGTCTCTCCGCCTCTCACACGCCTCCCCATGCGTCATCCCTGCGGGGGTATAGTCATTAAATCTCGGCTCCATTGGGAGCAGAGGGTAGGTCAACCCAACCTGACTATAATCATGGTTTAGGAGATATTCTCATTATAAACTGTATAGCCTGTTTTTAATTATGGTTTTCATATTGATTATACTGAATTTTGTGATCGTGAGTCAAGTTTTTTAAATTCAGCTATCATATTCATGCTATTAATATCTTATTGAATTAGTGAAAAGTAGGAATTTAATTGTTTTAGCTGTTTATTTATCATTTTTAGGTGGGACTTTGTATGACTATTTACAACAAAAGGGGGACAATTTGCTGGAAGAGGAGGTAAATGGGAAATGAGCAAATGTGAATGAAATAATGACTTCTATTGATTAGCTAAATGTATACCCAGGAAGCAATAAGATTCATTTACATATACTAAAAATATGGTCTTATTCTTTAGAACCATATCAATAAGACAGCATATTACTTTAGTGGTTTGTCACACCAAAATTTAATAGTTCCAGGCTTATTTTTATCTTTTCAGCAAATACTGCACTATTTTGCCCAAATGCTGCTGTCCCTACAACATGTACATTCCAAACAGATTCTACACAGGGATCTCAAGACACAAAATATTCTGCTGGACAAAAAGAAAGAAGTGGTGAAAATTGGTGATTTTGGGATTTCAAAAGTACTAAGCAGTAAAAGTAAAGCATACAGTGTAAGTAAAGAAACAAGTGGTATAAGGGCATGTTAATCTGTTAAACTGATTGTATTCAATGAGAGTTCTCACACGGGTGGATCGATCTATGTAGACTGATAGTTTCAGTGAGAATGAGCCCTTAGATTTATGTCAATGAGATATCAGGTTGTAAGCACATTAATAATTATTATATTCAAACAAGCTACCAGTATATGTACATGTACTTCACGTTTGATAGACCTATAGCAGCACATAATGAACAAATTAATGGTATCATAAATAATATATATGGAAACATTGTACAGCTTCAAAGCACACTAACAGAAAAGAAGTCAATGAAAACTTTACTGCTGGTATGTAGAATTTTAGGAGATACATGATTTGTCTCTTTTGGAATCATGCTCCATATTTTTCAGGTCGTAGGAACACCATGTTACATATCTCCAGAGCTATGTGAAGGAAAACCATATCCTTTATAAATTATGATTTTTATATGGTTCTTACATGTTATGGAATTAAGAGTTTACTTTTCCCAGACTTTTTGATTTTTGATAATTGAAGATATTTTTAGAAAGAGGAAAAATTTGATTTTGTTTCTCTGCATAATACAGACAGTGACTTTAACATTGATTACATACAACCAGAAGAGCGACATCTGGGCATTGGGATGTGTTCTGTATGAACTTGCCAGTCTGAAGAGAGCATTTGAAGCGCAGGTTAGACACATTGAAAAAAATTTAATTATGAAAGTGATTTCATTAATAGTAACAATTCATTGAGCACAAAAATGTTTGACATTAACAGAATTAATGACTACTGTAGTATTATACTGGTAGTATACAATGAATGCTATGCATGGTAGATAAGATCCCTTCTGAATGTTCTGGTCCATAATTTTTAGTTTAATATTTGTGAGAACTAAACTTGATGATTGTTTAGTTTGAAGATAATCAATTATGTACCCTGTTTGCATCATTGCAGTCACAATTTCATTGATGTCAAAGTGCTATATTTTACAATGACTATAAAATTTGATTTTTTGTAAAAGACATGAATTTAGTTTCTCATGTTGTTTCTATAAATGGATTATTGTTATTTATTTCTGTTTATTATAGAACCTGCCAGCATTAATACTGAAGATAATGAGGGGCACATTTTCTCCCATATCCGATAAATACAGCAAAGAACTTCAGTCCCTGATCCTTAGTATGCTCCATTTGGATCCTAACAAAAGACCGCATATCAACCAAATAATGGCACAGCCTATTCTCATCAATTCACTGATGAACCTGTATACTGACATTGGAATGCTACCATGCACTAGGTATTACTATTTGTCCAAAGAACTTCTTTTTAGCCTGGTACATGGCATGGGTTTCACCTTATGTATGGGTGTGTTTGTGTACTTATTTTAGCAAAGTCGTGTCACTGTGTGAAAGTTTTTATTTCGACTTATATACAGTTTGGAGATTTTATGAAAGGATATTTTTAAGTGAAGAAATGTAACCCAAATATGATGTCTTTAAAATGTTCTAGTAGCCAGACATATGGCAAAACCTTATCACCACACTGACATTTTTTTAGGGTCCAAAGTCCCCTGTCCAGTCTCCCAGGTCAGGCTAGGGGAGCTACAGGAGGTGGGGGAGGTGGGAAACTCTCGCCAAGACCTGGCAGTGCTACTAGAGGTAATGTGCTATTCAAACTTGATGTATTCTGTTTGCCTTATCGTCTAGGTGAACTTTCATTAACTACAATTAACTTTTCATATAATATTGTTGTTGATAATAGTTTAGACTCTTAACGCCATATGAAAGATGATATGAACACGTCAGGTTCATTTTGTGTACATGGTTATTTGGTAAACTTACTTCACTGACTCAGAGATGCTTGTAAAACAACTGATGGTTACACAAGTGAATGTTGTCAGAATCAATCTCTGTCAGATGTTTACAAAAATTTAAAAAAAATAGTGTTGTCCAAGAAAATTATACTGTAGTTCAGTCCATAAAATATTCATCCTAAGTAAAAAAAAACAATTGTTTACTAACAAAATTCTCCTTGATATAATTTTTTCTCTTTCAGAATCCCTGGCCAGTCTTGTAATGGACTCCAGTGGGGGTCTTCCCAAGCCCCCAGTCCTGTGTTCAGTGTATTACTGGGGTAGTGGAATATCTTCTCCTATGTTACTCCCCCTGCCAAGCAGTGACACACAAGTGGAAGAAGTTTCTATTGGGAGAACACAAAAAGCTGCTGTAACGAAAAATGGGAGGCTGTTTGTGTGGGAGGTAAGAGAAAAGGCAATGTGCATCTAGGCATGCCAGAAGTTGAATTAAGGCTGACATGGAATTATAAGAAACATTGTCTTTTGTATTCAATAGTTTTCTGAGATTTTTTATTTGCCCTGTGTGTGCACTTTGTAATTTTCATAGCTCACTTTTAACTGATAGTGCACTATTGCCACATTTATGTCCACTTAAGGTCATTTTCTCCCTTTGCAGGCTCCCACAGTAGGCACGGACAGCATGCTGCCAGGTGCCACAGAGGGCCAGGTGCCAGCATTTGTCCCCAGGTATCTGGAGGGACAGTCAGCTGTCACAATACAGCATGTTGCATGTGGGGACCTCTTTACAGCTTGTCTCACTGGTGAGTTGTCCAGTCTGTGTCAATATAAAAAATGACTGCTAACATTTCAGTTCTCTGAATGACTTAGTGTTTTGTTTGATTCAGTATTATTTACAACAGTATCCCATATCAAATATAGATAGAAGAGCACATGAATTATACATAAATGTGTAGAGCTGGCTAACTTGTATAAAATTCTGTGAAATTTTAATTCCTGACTTTCAACTGGAAGAAATTTTATAAAAATTCTGTATTATTAAATGCTGCCAATGATTAAAATCTACCAATTTCAAATAACTTATATCAGGAATATTGCAGCTCTTTAGGGTATAATATGAATATCCTTGTTGAGATTTCGCACTATTCTTGACCATTTCAGATCGAGGCATTTTGATGACATTTGGAAGTGGGGCCAATGGCTGCTTGGGTCATGGCAATTTCAATGATGTATCACAGGTAAAACGTGAAAAAATTTTTTTCCAGAAAAATTTGTTTTTACTGAATGCCATTAATCAGAATTTACTTGTTGCTGTCCATGAAATTAGTCGGAGTAGTTTTGTTAATTTAAGTGACAGTAATTGAATTTAACAAAAGTGGACATTGCTTTTCAATTTTACATCAATTACATTGTCTGTTTGTGTACTGTTGTGTTCATAATGTCATGAGTAATGCAGTTGGTACTCAAAATTGCAGTGTATGTTATCACCCACGTGGTCAGCACATTTAAATTTCTTTTAATTCTAACAGGCTAAAATTGTGGAGGCACTGCTGGGTTATGAGGTGGTCCAGGTATCCTGTGGGGCCTGCCACGTGTTAGCAGTGACTAATGACCACGAGGTGTTTGCCTGGGGAAGAGGAGACAATGGTGAGCAGGAATATCATGAAGTAAAATTTTTTTCCTACGAGATTTTTTCTTGTTTTTGTTAAAGAGCATATAGAACAATTTTGAATTTCTATGCCATACTCAGAAACTAGTAAAATTCAGAGATGGTTTCCCCTTGTTTATTTTTCTTTGTTTCCTTGACTGAATATTTTCAACATGAAACAAAAGCCTTAAGTTATATAATGTTGGAGTTAACTTTGATTGGTGATATTAGGAAGTGAATATTTAGTATCATGAAATACATTTAATATTTTTCAGTTATAAACAAGCATATGCATGCACACAAGCTGTTTTAATGGCACACATTTTTCAATTCTAAAACTTCTTTTTGTTGAAATGTGCCGAAATTGTGAACTTTCAATATGAAAAAAATTATGAATGTATATTCTTTGTACAAGGTCGCCTTGGACTGGGTACACAAGAATCTCATTCCTTGCCTCAGCAAGTTGGCTTTGAAGAGACTGAGCAGCCCTGCTCTGTACAATGTGGGGTGGATTGTTCCATGCTGCTGACAGTGGAAAACAAGTTGTTGTGCTGTGGTAATAACAGGTATTAAAGCAGCAGCCTGATCAGGGAAAAGTTCTTAAATAAAAAAAAAATCATTTTGCATGGCAAAAAGAGAGACTGGTACAAGGAATTAATAGCAGCATTATGTATATAATTGCCACTTTCAGTGAAGCAAGTACTTAGAACCACTTCTGATTTTTCTCATCATCGCCACATAATATTATGTAATTCATCATGTATTCTGTTGAGATTTACGAATACAGTATTATATGACATTCTTACAAATGAGCAAAATAAGTATGTCTGGAACTTATTTCAGATATAACAAGCTAGCCTTGGACACTGCTGGCAGTGGAGGGTCACTGAGACACATAGAAGAAGTCCACACATTTACCCCAGTGTCCACACCACCTCTGGTCAATACCCCTATCAAACAGGTGGCCATGGGGACCTCACATACTATTGTCATTACAGGTAAGGAATAGAAGTCTTGCTAGATTTAGTTTGATACTGTCTGGTGTTATGTAAAAGTTTTGATAGTATTTTTTGTGTGCTTATAATGCAGCATTTGTGTAAAACAGATTTTCTCGAAATCACTGTAACTTGATCTTTTTCTTTCTTTATTACTTCTTGACTTTTAAAGCTTTGTTGGAATATAAATTATAGATTTTCATAAAAACATGCGTTTAATCCATCTCCATGGTCATTGTAGAACAAGGAGAGTGCTACAGCTTTGGTAGTAACCAATTTGGCCAGTTAGGATATAACAAAAGACCCACTGATGGTTATCCAGAGAAAATCCCTGCTCTTCAAGGGGTCCCAGTTACTATGGTAGCAGGCGGAGACACATTTTCAGTGGCTGTTGCAGGTTTGTATAGTTTTAGAATGGCAGCCAAATGCTATTATGTACTGTATGCTTGCAACTAATTAGTTTAATAAAAACAATAGTGAATATAAAAAGAAATCACTTTAAATCTAAAAAAAATGAAAAGATATGGAATGGCAATTTCTAAGAACAAAAGCATGTGTGAAGAGCTAAGTGTCTTGTGTGTTTCCACTCGTGGGATAAGGTAAATGTAACCTTTTGTCAACAGACGGGTGGTATATTTCCAGAATCTAGGTAAAAACACCATTTAAATAAACAAAAGCTATTTTAAATTTCCGCTTAAAATTAACAATAAATGTGGGTACACAGAAAGACAGCACCAGTTAAGACTCAAATATGATTATACTATACAATGGCAGAAATGTGAGGACATCTGTGGTGGCGAAAATTCTTTAAAATTTTAGAGCCCCCACTGCAGTAGGTACATGTATCAATATTGGCATATTTTTCAGGTGGTATTGTGTACTCCTGGGGCAAGGCAGCCCGTGGACGTCTGGGGAGATCTGGGGACATCACTGACATCCCACAACCCATTACTTTTACTGACCAAGACAGATTTAATGTCACATCTGTGTCATGTTGCCATGGAAATACTTTGCTAGCTACATGCCGTGAGTGATATTATAATCATCTTGATTTCAAAAGTAGCTGCACTATCTTCTGTTTGCTTGTCCCAACTCTGCTTTGTTATGGGATTACAGGGTTTGCTTTGTTTGTTGAGCTTTAAAAAAACAGTTGAAATTCAGTACAGTGAAGAAAATTTCATAAATGCAAGATAAATAATAATTCTTCTGGACTATCTTTTGCACACTATGATAAAATTGGTTTTCTTTACAGCTGTGCAGCAGCCTGGCACTCCCAGAGAATAATTATGTACACAAAGCTGCCTCTTTCACTGGGAAGTTTTTTATTGTGGAGATGCGCCAGAGCATGAAGAATCCCATGCAAGTACCACTTGGGCAATTCCACAAAAGGGTTGCTGCAGCTATTTTAGTTCCCATGCCCCAATGCCAAATAAATAATAAAACTGCCTAGCTGCTATTGTGCAGTTATCTTTATCACAGTTCATATCTCACATTGCTGTAAATTTAGAATTTTTTAGTAGAATTGTTAGAATATCAATATTTGTCATGTGTTGCACTTTTTGCAATATGGTCAGTGCAATGCTGTTAGGCAATCTACAATTTCTTACATTACTAATGGATGAGAATGTATTGTTTACACTTAGTTCAGTGCTGCAAAGCAGTGCTTTGAAGTTATTAAGTATTCATTTAAGATATGTTTATTTTAAATCTACACATTTAATTTTTTGTAATAAATTTATCTTTTTTGAAGTGGAGTTTTTAGAAGTCTTTTTTTGCAAATCATGGATAAACAATCACTCATTATTAATACACAAGTTTTAGTCCAAGGTTTCAAAAGAGACATGCTGATAGTAGATAGATTTTGTCTGCAAGAATTGGAAGCTGTCAAAATTCTCTGCAAACATTAACTATTAAGTGCACATGTGGCATACTCCATAAACTGGGATCTCTGAGGAATGGTTAACCTTGTTGGAAATGTGCTTTCATTGCAGCAAGACTGGGTTGCCACAAGTATACTGCCAGTGTACACAAATGATACCTTTTCTGGCCTATCATATATATATATATATATATATATATATATATATATATATACAGCACAGAAAACGGTGTTAAGTATGTGAAACAGTGTTAAGCATGGAGCCTAATAGCCTCGGCAAAGGAATTTAAAATCGCTGTACAATGGGCATGGTTTTGTGTAGATCACCGAAACTCGATATAGAGGTCAGGACGGTTATCTATACTTACAGCTGTGCATATTGGCAGAGATCAACACTGATCAGCTAATGCTACATCTTTGTTGGGCATATCGTACAAAATAATAAATTTGTTAGTCATGCATCGGCCAATATCAATCGCAGTTTTGGGCATGGGTAGAACATAGCAATACAATACATACAAGGCCCCTAGTGTATGTTTAAGGGTAGGCAATTTTAGACCCCATTCCCAGAGATTAGATCGATTCAACTAGATCGACCTAACTCCCTGGGGGTTCACGCTAAATAGCTGTCAGCCAAGCAGGCACGAAAGTTAATTACCCCCTTACAGCTTCTATTAAGCAAGACAGACATTTAAGCCAAATTATCTGACAGTAATATAGTGAGACTCCCCAGGGGGATAGATCGATCTAAAATCTATGGGAATGCGCCCTACATTTCTGACTATGAAGAAAAACAAAAGGTTACAGTATAATGTACAAAATTAATATTTTATTCACAATATCTGCCTCTCAAACCTATTGTTACAGACAAAATCTGTTCTTTCTTTTCTATAATGCACACAGATTTAACAAGTTTAGCTTAACCAAGATGATCCAATTTTTATAACTCAATACTTGTAGCACTATTGTTCTTATCAGCCAATAACTGAAATGTATGAAAAAATGGTTAATACAGTTGTAAAGCAATACCAACCACTTAGCCAAGACCAGCATAGTGGAAATCTGTTCTTATCATGTGCAGAAGAGTATCTGATTTAAATTGGACTTAATGGTAGTTCATTAACCAAGAAAAGTCGTACATAATAACATTGCTACTTAATGTAACACCACCACAAGCCATAAGGCTAGACCCAGTAGTATTCAGTTCTTATCATTTGTATTTCAAAATTTTTTTCAAATCCAGTTGGGATGGGTTGACCTGGCGTACCTAAAGTTGGTTAAAACAGAAAAATGTTCATTAAAACCCAATATGTATGCAGTAAAATAGCAAGGTAGAGATGCTTTAGGTCTCCACTATGTTGTAAATACTTACCTGTGGAGTCGAAATAGTGCCAGGAACATTTAATTTACTTTTTTTTACCAAAAGCTGGTACTAATAATTTTAAATATACACATCTAAAGAAAAAATAATTAATCTACTGCATGTCAATAAATGTATAATTTAACATAGCCGTCCAAAATTCGTCTGCCATTGTTTTATGTTCAATTCTTCTTTCAATTTCCATTCATTTCTGTTTCCATTTCCTCTTCCCCAAAATCTGCAAAATAAGTTTATATGCTTATAACAAGGAATCCTGAAAATAATAAGTCGTCATTTAATGTATTTCTAAAAAGCTTATGACAAACAACATTTAAAATCGTACATTTCATCAACATCCACCAGTACTATTTTAACAAACCAGACTTACCTCTCCTGAATTCTCTCCCTGGTATTTGTCCTGTTCTTAGCATTTGATTTAATCTCTCCACTTCTTCCAATGTTGAAGCTCTGGCAATGGCAGCCTGGCCAAAATTGACAAGTATTTATTTTTTAATGTCATATACTAAATAGTTACTCTAGGACACCATCAGTATGTGTGTTCTTCTGCTGGTAATATTTGTGTACTTTAGAGCCTATCTAATTGAATACAAAGCCTGACAATGCAGTACATAATGCTGTTCAGTTGCTTCTATTTTATAAAGTGCAGACATGTGAAGCAGTGATCTTGATAAAAAGAAACCAACTGTTTTATTGTACTGACCTTAATTGCATCCACATCTTCTTTTGAAGGACCTGTGGGTTTCTTGGTCACTTCAGGTAGCTGACCACCAGGCACAAAGGTCTTGCTCCTCTTGCCAATCTCCTTGGCTAATGCCTGACCACGCTTGCCTTTGAACATGCGGCCTGCTGCTTCTCTTTCCTGAGTAAAAAATGTACCCTACCATTAAATAATTCCCCATGTGTACACAACTACGTAACTGTTCTAGAAGGGCAGTAACAATCACCCATGGTAACTTTAAAACCATACAAACTATGACTGGGTTCTACTTTTTATGATCAACTGTATTTCTAGATAGTTTAACAGGAGAATAAAATGGAAATTCGTCACAACAATAGCATAGTGTCTCCAGAAAACACATCCCTAAGGCTCTGTTCTCACAACTTTTAGATCGATCTATCACCGCGGGGAGTCTCACTAGATTACTGTCAGATAATCCGCCTTAAGTGTCCGTCCCCGCCTACTACAAGCTATAAGGGGTAATTAACTTTCGTGTCCGCCCGGCTGACAGCTATTTAGCGTGAACCCCCAGGGAGTTAGGTCGATCCAATGTAGGTCGATCTAATCTATGAGAATGGGGTGTAAGTTTTACATAACATGCATACTACCATTCAGACCATTTTACATATATAACAATCTTCGATTTAATATCTCACAATTTTTTTCATAAAATGTACTTTAAAAACTTTAAACCATAACATAACCATAACATTTTCTTTCAAATCTGTTGTGCACCTTCTTGTACCACAAAATTCTTACCCTTAGACGCACTTTCTGGAAATCTAGTAATCTGATCTGTGGTAACTTGTGAATAACATATAATCTGTAGTGTTTCTTGGTTGTTACTGGATTCCTCATGAGGCTGCAAATAAATCAGACAGTGGTGCAAATAAACCAACATCCATCAAAAATTTTTTTTCGAAAGATTTTTATAAAATCGTTAACTTGCAGATTTTCTATCAAGACACAAATGTTTTTCTCCTTAGATAAATCTTGAAAGCAGATAAAAAAAAAAAAAAAGAAAAAGAAAAACTGGCCTAACTGTCACACACATTTACATAGTAGTAACAAATGTGAGTCTACTATTCAATTACCTTAGTGTCCTGAGTGTTTTAACAGATGCCAGGGTATCCAGATCACCCAGTTCCTGGATGCTATTATTGGTCAATATCAGACTTTCTAGACTGGGTAAACATTCTTCTAAATCTTCAGCTATCCTCCTACATCAAAAAGTAAACATGAAAAGTTTGCACCTATTTCTTTCAATGAAAATTAATTTTGGGAATGCAAGCAAATATCTTGACAAAGTTTTCTGTAGAGTATAGCAACTGCATAATATGTTTTGTAAAAATTATATGGATATCAACAACATAAACATCTATTATAAATTATGAAAAACAAATGTTCAAAAATCATGCTACTCACGCCACTCTATTGTTATTCACCAAAAGAGATTTCAGTCTTTTGAGAAGTGGAAATCCATCTAGTTTGCGGATTTCATTGTCTGACAGATCTATGGTATCAAATTGATCCTGTAAGTGAAAAAAAAAAATATATATATATATATATATATATAGAAAAAGCTAATATCTTTATGTAACACTTGATGAAAAAATTTGACCAATCTGTTACATAGCAATAAAACTCAGATGCCTCAGTGTTATATTTCTTACATCTGCATCATTTATGTTGTTGCAAAAAAAAAAAAAATCCAGGTAAATTCTGGGCAGATGCTATTCACTTCTGGGAAGAATAGTTAGCTTAGGTACACAAATGCAAAGTAACCACTTAGCAACTAAAAATGGTCAAAACCATGGGCATTTTTAGGGTATGTACACGCAGACAGAAAACAGAGAATTGTGGAAAAGTTACTAATGAAGTCACAGGGGTAGATGACACCTTGAATGGCATTTTATCCCGTACTTTTGCAATTCATTTGAAACTTAAATTTTCATATTTGCTTACCAAGGAAGCACCAAGATTTTCAATGACTGGAATTTTGTATCCTGGAAGAAAAAACAGACAAAGAAAAGAGTGATAAACGTGCTAATCTGTCTGAAAGACTCACCTAAACAATCGAATACTACTTTATGTCTGGTGCAAACATTTAAAAGATGACAATTTAAGTACTTATTGCATGAGTTTCCTTTAAAAGCCGTTAAAATATTCTAGTCAACAGTATTATAAAGTTAAAAACCCAACCGTCATCTCTACACTGTCGAGTGTCGTAAACCCCACACACACACTAAATGCCTCCACTTCATGAAATAATTTATTACGTATACAAATCCATTATTGAGTAAACTATCACTTCCAATGCTTTACGTGTTTCATTATTAATCACGAAAATGTTAAATGTCTACCTCTTAAATCTAGTTCTCTGTCTCTCACTGGGTTTGTGTACTGTGCTGCTTGCTCGATCAAATCTGCCGTCAACTTTACCATATTTCAGACGTGTTTGGCGTTCTTTTAGAGAAAATAACACGGCACTACTTTTTAAGTTTGTTCAACAATTACTTAGATAGTATTAAGATAATCTAGACATTTTTAACTATAGAATTTTACGAACGAAACAGCAAGCTACCAGCAAACAGAGTAAAGTACAAAGCGTGGTGCGCGGTGGAAACGTCTGCACATGCGCAGTGCTTGAACCTTGTTCATTTAAAAAAACCAAAGATGGCGCTTTACAAGAAACGCCAAGATCAAATACATAAACCGTACACAGGCCTGCACTTAGATCTCAGAGATCTCAGAGATATCCTGTCTTAAGTTATTTACTAATACTCCTGTTCAAATATTGAATATTACACAAAGGGTACATTTGCAAGAATTAACATTCCATAGCAACGCACTCGGCTTTAGGCTTCGTTCACATGCAATGTCTATTTTCTAAATTCTATTTTCTATTCGCGCTATCTTATGATCACGGTCTGTGCACTGAATATCCCACCGCGTAATTACTGGCAGCGCGAGGCAGTTACTATAAGTTACTATAAGTAACCGGCTCGCGCTGCCAGTAATTACGCGGCGGGATATTCAGTGCACAGACCGTGATCATAAGACATGCCGCAAATAGAAAATAGAATTTAGAAAATAGACATTGCATGTGAACGAAGCCTTAGACTAGTCAAAAGGGAGGGGGGCTAGATCAGAAATTAAAAGTCATCTCCGAAATGTGTATATTCATAACACAGTTTGGGTTTGAAATATGAGAAAAACAATTGATGGTAATTTTTTATTGGTGAATTATATGGCACGAACCCCGAAATTCAGTTTATTTAATATTTAAGAATAAATGTAAAAGTTTATTTTTCCTTCTAATAAGTACAGTATTTTTTTGTACAAATATTCTTTACATAGTCCCCAAACCAGTGTACCCAAGGTAAAATAAATTGATAAAAATGGTTGTTGTTTTGATTATTTGTAAAAGCATACTGGAAATTTGCAGAATTGGGGGTTGTGGTTGGAAGGTGTGTTAAGCTAATATAATGCCAAAAGCATGAAAAATATAAGTAAATGAATTTTTGTTTTAAAAACTGGTTGTAAAGTGCAACAAACACAGCTTTAGAGTGGCATCACATAGGCTTATATGGAAATCGCCTAATATTATAATGGCTGGAGTTTTTGTATTTTAATAGTAACCAATACTTCTAATTAAATACGCGAATTTAAAGGTCTATATGCGAGTTAGCATTTGCAAATGTTAAAATTCTGTGTTCTGATCGGTAAAGCCTAATTGTTACTGGGGAACTCTACGAAAAAAAATATAGGCCTAATGATATGAATTATCTGAATTCAACATGTTGCGTCTCATATTCTCGACAAACAGAACAGGCTTTTTTACCCTGAGCCCCTTGTGCTTCAGAGCGGTTTTGAAATTCTAATTAAAATAAATCTTTACTTTCGATCCTTGTTCTATATTCATTTTTCTGGGAGAGGAGGTTACATGAGGTTAAAACCATAAAGCGTACATTACTTGAATCTTTTCTCAATCCAGTTTCGTTGAGTCCAATAGGCCTACAAGGTGCACAACAGAAAGCTCAAATAATATGGTAGGTTTTAACCTAAAATAAAATATGATAGTACATTAAATTATTAATTAGGCAATTTAACCTTTTTACAAAACTCCTAGGAGAAACAAATAAAAGAGAGAGAGAGAGAGAGAGAGAGAGAAATGTAAGAATTAAGTCAAGTCATATGCTTTCAACTATTAGGAAATACTATAAGTAGGCTACTTCGCAATGGCAGCAGTTTTAGCTCGATGTGGCGTGCGACATCATAACGACGCGCGTGCTTCATAAAACGTCACCTGGCGTTTCCAGGGTAAGCTTATTGCTCTATGCAAAAGCGTGCTGAATTATTCATTTGAGCTATTTTTATTGCATAGAAAGAAGTAGGCCACTCGCATATAAGTGCAACGCGTGGCATTCATCGTAAACCCAATGTCAAACTGGGGTTACTTCGTTTTCGGCCTTGTGTCTCTTCCAGTTCAGCCATCTGTTGTCTGTTGTGCATAGAGCACGGTCGATTTGAGCAGGTACGTGTGCAGGCCTACATTGCTTTGCCAAGATATACAATGTATTAAGAGCGGATCAATATTAGCGTGACATCATGTTTGGCCGTTTTTGTTAGACAAACAAAGGAGTGATATTATATTGGAGATAAGCCTTTCGTTTAGCCGTTTTGTAGTTTGTGAAACATCAGTCTTACGCATAGATCCTCTGACGTGATGAATAATATCTATTCTTCGACTTCCTTCCCCGTGAGTTTCAGAGGAAAGCCAAAATAGTGGAAACCCATCTTTCTGCCATCAGCATGTCTCTGATGTCTCTGTCGGTATCGATAGCGGCATGCTGATATTGGCGAGGCGAGTTTCCACTGTCCTCAGACTTCCCGCAAAAGTCTGATGAGTGTAGCCTACATTTATATTTATATTTCATGTTTATCCAAAGAGGATTGCTGTAAATGCCACTACCCCAAATCGTGCTGCTTACATAGGCCTACTCTGAGTTGAAGTAAAAATGGGACCTACATGTACATGTAGTCTACAAGTAGAACACCAAATTTAGGCAAACAACGCCCTACCACGCACACAAGCATTTGGGTTGATTTTTCTTTTCTTTTATTTTAATTCTTTCAAAAAGAATCATAACGCATGTACGTGTGTTTTAATTATGTCACGGCTGCCTTCCAACGATTCACTCCACTGAGCATTTTCTAGGATAAACGAATGTGCTGCATAATAATACGACAGAAAAATGAAAGATGGGTGACGAAGAAAAGACCAATGATGCTCGTGATACAAATAGACACGGCAACTCCTGTTGTGGTAGCCACAGAACCTTTAAGACACTGTTACTTTGCTCGGCGGCTGTAGGCTTAGTAAGTATATATTAAAACCCTGAAGCTGAGAACTATATTGATTTGCTTCGAATCCCATGCAAGTGCTCCAAAATCTTTATTGGTGTGTTATCAGCAGGTAATTCACACGTGCAAGGAATAAGCGGGGTAGTGACCTAAGACCAGACGAGCTGACCGGGTGATTTCCTGCAATTTTGTCTACTATTTTAGAGGTCTCGGATATCAGAGGGTACTTCCACAGTAATTTGTTTGAAATTTTGTAATTTGTCTTGCATGACTTCAGTGTATGGAATATGCTTTTTAACTCTAAGAGTGAGTCTTTTCCCCTTTTCACTGCCTTTTCAGGGGCCCCACATATGCTCACCGCTCGAGGGCTCTTGCGAAAATGCTGCAGGGGAGATTTTAGTATTGTCAAACATTCTTCTGTGGGTACAAGAGTGATTTTTATGCCCCAATTTGTTACCTCAAACTCTACTCAGAGCTGTAAAATTTAGACACATAGAGAGGTTGGGAAGCAAGCACCCCTGTAATATTGTGGAGAACACAGTAAATTTTTTTTGGACTTTGATATATGAGTATATCTTTTCCCCTTGCCTTTTAGGGATACGGAAGTGGCGAGTGTTCCGCCGTTTTGTTTGGGACTTTTGTATGGCAAACGCTTAAATCTATCTAGGTCGAACGTTTCTATACAAGGTTTTTGATGAATATTGAGGTCCACGAAGATCTATTTGTTTTACTGCTATCAGCTGTCATGAACCACACATTGAATAAACATGTATAACAGGACTCAACATAATTCAACTTCTTAAATGCAAATGATTGAACAAATATGGATGTTCAAGTAGCCCACGGTGTGATATGAATAAAAGCGTTTTATCCACAGGTGAACAGAAATCTAACCGTGTACTAGAAAAATTATGCTGGTAAATTAGAAAGAAGACTCTGACAATGAAGGTCGGGTACAGAAAACCAGTAAAAACACAACACACACATAAGCTAGAATACCTCAAAGCGGTATTTTCAATTACAGTATGAGTGTTTTTTTCCTGCTTTTTGCCACTATCGTAAAATTAAATGGATAACAACTGTTCGTATGGGATTAATATTTCACAGTAATAAACTCAATTTTACCATTAAAAGAGCGGTTATCTGAAATCTGTGCCTGCCCCGCGGAGTTAGTTAGAACTGCGATAGTTTCATTGTGAACGCATTCTTAAACTCTTTCCTAAAATGTCATCCACTATTGACCGTCGTTTTAGGAATCTTTGAGATTTCAATATTAGGATTTTCTGGTAAAGGGCCTATTAGCGCGTAGAAGAATTTTTCATTTTACAATTTTTTTCAGTCATTGGCTCTCTGCTAGAGGCCGACTAGTTATTTTGCAAAAAAAAAAAAAAAAAAAAACTTTTATCTCAATAAAGGGAGACAAGGGTGGAAATAAGATTATTGGACTCGAGCCTCCCATTTATGCAAAAAATAATTGTTTTAAAAATATTTCAATTCATTAAACTAATTATTTGATTATCATATTATTTTTAACAGGGTTTATGCGTATCTGTCCCCGGTCCAACATTAATCGACCTGAGAAAACAAGTCCATGCCTCCCTAGAAACCGTCTCCTACATCTTCAGCGGTCGTTCCGCGGGTTATCTACTTGGATCTCTAGTTGGCGGCGTACTGTTTGACCATACGAACCAACAGTTGTTCCTCGGATTGGTTATGGCTGCGGCAGGGGTTGCGACTTTGCTGATACCTTTTGCGACAGAGATATCTCTACTTGCGACATCCCTTGCTGTCCATGGAATAGCAATGGGATGCTTAGACACAGGTTGTTTAAATATGAACTTACTCAAGAGTTAAAGACTGTCAAATAAACTTGTTCCATTTATTGAAAGCAATGTATCAAAACAGCACAATTCCTTGGAATATATTCCGTTCAGTTAAATACGTCTCAACGAAAATCAATTCAATATTGCCATTATGAGCCAAAAGCTGCGCACTCGATTTATTTATTTATTTATTTATTTATTTATTTATATTTATTTATTTATTTATTTATTTATTTATTTATTTATTTTTGTATCTGCAGTACTTCGACCAAATATTATAATGACGATCACAGACTAGTTATCATATAATCATGAACAATATTATATCATGTGTTCCACGCCTTACAAAATTTTTTAAGACTGACTGTTTATTTTTGTTTTTAGGCGGGAACGCCCTTTGCCTCAGTCTATGGGGAAAGAAGAGCGGGCCATACATGCAAAGTCTACATTTTGCATTTGG